AAAAACGAAAAATGTTTCGTATATAAAAAAAAAAGTGACACAATTTAAATTTTATTTGCCGATCATTTGTTTGTACATAAAAAAAAATGGATTCTAAAATAATAAATAAAATTTTTTTAAACTATTTTAAAATCAAATTTATAATTTTTAGAAATAGAAAGTAATTTTCTATAAAAGAATAATGATTTTAGAAATTGTGAACTTTTAATATTTGAATGAAACGAAATCTATATAACGCGAGGATTGAATCACCTCTATTCGCTTAATTGATCAAAGCTCGTCGTTGCGCTCTACGATTTAAGCTTCCGTAATATCGCTGTATACGGATGAGAGAACTGTAATGTATTTTTTTTTCTCTCTTCATTATTTTTTTTTTGTTTTCAATTTTTAACCAAAAAAAAAAAAAAACCCCCCTTTGCGTTACTATCTCGTTAATTTTATTTCCAGTGTATTCACCTAGGTGGAAAACATCGCTGAAACGAACTTCTGGTTTGTCTATGCTCGTACTCCTTTATTAATAAACAGCAAATATATATATATGTATATGTGTGTGTCTAGCGGTTGAATGCCATTTCAGTTTATAGAGATGTTTCCCAGTGAAACTAACATCTGCAACAAGTGCCTTTGCAATAATATTGTTCAACTGTAATATATCAAAAAAAAATTTTTGTTATAAAAACAAAAATTTTAATCACTTTTGTTTTCCTTTTGTTTCAAATATATAATATAAATATTTACTTTCATGTGCAACGCTCAACGAAAAAAGGGACCGTTACGGGCAAAAAAAATGTTTAGGTTATGTTTAATTTATTTCAAGTTTGTCTTCATTACTCTCTAAATCTGAATCAGAATAGAAATTTTACTAATTCAATCAGTACATGTGACGCGATCTGAAGAAAGGGACCTTTGAAGCAAATGAATTTATTAGTTATATGTTTACAATAGTTTTACTTGAACTATAAAAGTTTATTTTTGTTTTTGTAAAACTGAAATCAGTTTTTATTGAATATTTTGGATGCAATGAAGACCTAAATATCATTATAGTTTGCATTACAAGTTGAACGTCTTTGTGTATTTTCACTTTAAAATTTCAAAACATAACCTATAATTTTTTGCTTCTAAGGTCCTTTTCTTCAGATCGCGTCACACATTTCATTTTAATAACTGAAGTTTCAATTATTTTTTGAAAACTAATATATAATTCATGAATATATACAAGCAATAGAAAAGTAACTTATGCAAAACAATAATTTGTTTATAACATAACCTTTAAAATTAACTATTAAATCAGTAGATTTTGCGGCCGCCGCCATATTGAATCAGTAAATTTCTACTAATTATCAGTTGCTCAATTCTTGCTATGGCAATTAGTAGATTTCTATACTGCTAATCAGTGAAATATGACTGATTTCAGATTTAGAGTGTAGAACCAAAACTGATTTTAATAATCAAGCAAAAAAAAAAAAAAAAAAAACAATCACTAAACGCATAACCTAAAATTTTTTTTATAAGGTCCCTTTTCTCGCGTGGAGCGAATATATTTTTCATTTAGTTAAAGATTTCATTTATATGTCAATTGAAAAATAAATTCCTAATAATATTCAAATCGTAAAAAAATATTTTTTTTTTTCTTTGACAAATGGAAATCAACTGTCACACACGCGTGTGTGCGAATAAATAATATAATCTTTGAATATTTTCGATAGATCGGTTCACGCATGAAGAACCTTAAATGAAACACGTAATCGATGGTTATCGATGATGTAACGAATTATGTCACATTTTCGTTGGGTAAAAAGGAATATATATATATATACATATATATAGTGAACGAAGGAGAGGAAGAACGCGGGATATAAATTGGAAACATAGATAAATGAGAGTTGTGTTGCAATTGGAGCGCAACGATTCTATTAACAATTCGAATTGTTTTACCTTTTACCCTATAAACAATTGACACAATTAATATTTACCGCAGTGTTATTATATGATTTTCATATTTTCAAATTCATTATCATCATTATAGTTTTTTCCAACTAAATACACCACAAATTAAAATTAATATTTAATTTTTACCACACTTGTTTATATATTTAGTTTATGCTACATAATTCAATTTTTCCATTCTATTTGTGAATGAAAATTTTGTTTAAACATTTTTTTTTTTTTTTGATCAATAATATAATATGTTAAATTATGTTTCGAAAAACAATTAATTTTTATTTTTTGAAATTTTGTTATCCAATAATAGTAAATTTATCCCAATCAAAAATTTCAGTATTATACCAGAGTTGACTACTGGCGCAGTACTGGTTCAATATTGGCTGCCGAGGCTTGGCAGTCTGTACTGAATCAGTACTGGAAAACCAGTACTGAGCCGATATTAAGCCAGTACTGGCTCAAATAGATTTTCTTTTTGATTAATACTACACTCAGGGAAATATTTGTCTCCGAGCCTATACTATAACTCATTTGTTTGTTGCAAATATATTTTATTTCATTGAAATAAAAAATTTATTTGTGCCAAAGAAAAATTTATTTCTGACAAATAAAATTTTTATTTACGCCAAATAAATAAGTTTGTAGGCTCTGAGACAAATATACATTTATTTAAATCAAATATATATTATTTATTTGGTTCAAATAAATCATTTCTCTGGGTGTAGTTTATACAAAAAGTTCTAGAGTAAACCTGATGAATCTTTTTGTTTAAATATTTTGTTTATAAACATTTTTTCACTTTGATTTTATTTTTGAAAATTAAAAGATATATTTTATTTTACTTTTTTGTGGGTAAAATTATTTTAAACAAAAAGTTTCCTGAGACTACACCCAGAGAAATTATTTATTTGAACCAAATAAAATATATATTTGAGTTAAATAAATGTATATTTGTCTCAAAGCCTACTAATTTATTTATTTGGCGTAAATAAAAATTTTATTTGTCAAAAATAAATTTTTCTTTGGCTCAAATAAATTTTTTATTTCAATGTAATTATAATTATTTTATAAACATTTTTATTTTTACTGAACTATTTTTATATATTATAAAAACTTTGGTTTTATAATAAACATATTTTTATATTTATTTTTTGATTGTTTTAAAATAATAATTTGCAATATATATTATACTTAATAAAAAATAAAAAACTCTTGGTGTTTTCAATTTTATATATAATAAAATATTAATTAGTTAGTTGACTAATTTAATTTGTGTTGGGTTACTACAACTCTGGCGCCAATACTGGGTGCCAGTACTGCGCCATTAGTATAAATTTTTGATTAAGTAGTTATCTTTCGAATGCAATAGGTATTTTTTTTTTATGTTCTTCTTTAATATTAATTAATTTATCTTTTTCATTAATTTCAACTATTTTTTTTTTGAAATTTAATTCCATAGATTAAAAGTAATATATATGTATGGAAAATTCAATTAGATTTGTAAGTTAAGAAAAGAAAATGTTAAGAAAAAAGAAAAGACCTTAAAATTTAATATAGTTTTGTTTTAGAGAGATTTTTCTTTCTTTTTTTTTTTTTTTTTTTTTTTTTTGAATTTTCCAGAATGCTCATTCGAGAAATTCTGTCTAGGAGAGGTATAACATCTATTGCAGTGGATGCTTTCGCGTTTATATATAAAAGTAGTCGTCGTGGTGTAGGTTAGAGCCACTATATCTGGGTCATTGGGTCAAAGCAAAAGCAACTGGGTAACCGAATCCTCTCACAGTGAGATATAAAAAAAGGAAATTATTCCCAGATTCTTGTGCTTTTAATTATTTCTTTTGACATATTATATATATTCTCTTAATTTGAAAACTTAATGTACAAAAAATTAAAATATAGGTCAAAATTATTTTTTTCTATTTTTTTTCTATATTTGTATTTGTATTGTTTGTTTTTTTTTTTTGTATATTTTTATTCTGCGCGCAACCTTGACATCTTTTTGCACTTATCATTCGAACAGTTTTATATATATATTTGTAAACGCGCGCGATTCCATTGCAAAGAAAAAAATTCAAAATTAAAAAATTTCACCTGTTGCTTTTATAGTAAAAAAAAAATTAACTTTTTTAAAAAAAAATAAAATTTTCTAATTTTAAAAAATCTGTTACTTGCAAGTATTGTAAAATAAACATTTATTAGAGATTAAAGTTTAAAATATTTGAATGAAATCTAAATTTTCAGTCAAATAAATTGTTTAAACAAATATTATTATTTATAGAAATAAATTATTAAAATACATAATGTAAATTATTAATAATTATTATTAATAATTATTAATTATTATTATTATTATTGAATTATTTACTATTAAATTAATAACTTATAGGCAATAATAATTATCGATAAAAAATACAATCATAATTTATTACATTCTTTGAAAAAATTTAAAAAATTTTCTACATTGAATTGTTGCGCTATCTGTTAGGAAACAATGGAAACAACTTCAGTTTATCTACAGAAAATAAGTTGTCTTTTTTTTTGAATTTCTACACTAAATTCTCGATTTCTTGTGTACCATTAAAGGATAAATAGTCGGTAAAAATGGCAGCTTTCAATTTTTATATCCTTTGTGTCCTACTGTATCATATAAGATAAAAACCTTTGTTTCTTTTTTTAAATATATTAGTTTATTTATTTATTATTATTATTTTTTTTTAAGAAAAGTAAAAGGTAATAAAATTTTGAATTTAAAAAAAAAAAATTATTCTTTTGCTTGAAAAAATATGAAATATTTTTGTTTATAAAATTTTTCAACTATTGGAAGAATTTGTTTTACTAAATATAAAGAATCTAAGTCGATTTTCGATAAGTCGAACTTTTTTTTCTGTTTTCATTGCTGATTCGAGTTATCGTAAATTCAACTCTGAATATATATGTAAATGCAAAGAAAAATAAATTTTTTTTTTCCCCCTTTTACCATTTTTTATTAGCAATAATCTACATTTAATGAGTCTCCGAGATAAATGTTGCGCAAATATATATTTATACATGTTAGATAAATGAGACAATATAATTCAGTTTCTATTAAACTTTATAGCACTTAATAGCCAATTTTCTTCGAATTAGAAAAAATAGTCACAAGTTTATATTTAATAAAGGGGTTTTTTTTTCAAATTAATTATGCTTTTTTTTATTTTAATTATTATTGCAATTGGTCTAGGTATTTATCATATTTCTATTCATTATAGTCGACATGGAAGACTTTTAAATAAATTTCCAGGACCACCAATATTTCCAGTAATAGGAACATTAGAACTTTTGGGACTTTCCCCAAGTAAGTGTAATTACAATTATTTTTTATTAACTATATAAATAATAATAATAATAATAATAATAATAATAAAATTAATAAAATATAATAAAAAAATTGAAAATAATTTTATTTATTATTATGAATATTTTTCTTTAAGCTGAAATCTGGAATAAAGCACGATACCTTGGTCGTACATATTATCCAATTAATCGACTTTGGTTGGCTCATTATCGTTCAGTTAATATTTTTAATCCATACGATGCAGAGGTAATCATTTTTTTTTAGAATATAAAAAATATTTAATTTTAGAAATATTTTTTTTAAGTTAATTTATTTAATTTGTATTGTAATTACTTTTTGCTTTTGTCAAGATTTTATTATCCAATATGAAACATATTGAGAAGAGTCATCTTTATGATTTTTTACATCCTTGGCTAAAAACTGGTTTATTGACTAGTACAGGTAATTAAATTTTTTTTTCTAAAAACATATTTTGCATTTACTATAAATTATAACAAAAAAAAAAGGTAAAAATTATAAATATTGTACTATATTCTAAATTTGATAAATTATTTAATATAATATAAAAGAAAAAATTAAAATTTTATAAATTTAATTATTTTTTTTTAGGTAAAAAATGGCAAACTCGACGTAAAATGTTAACGCCCGCATTTCATTTCAGTGTTTTATATCAGTTTGTCGATATTTTTATGGAACAGGGAAATAATCTTGTGGAAAATTTAAAATCTCAGGGAGATGAATCTGTACAGAATCTTGTACATTTTTTTACAAAATACACACTAAATACTATTTGTGGTAATTATTTCAATTATAAAAAAATTATTATAATAAATTTAAAATGAAATTTTTTACCATTATTAGGTGAAATAAAGTAAATTATAATTTATTTTAAAATGAAACATTTTTTTAAAGAAACTGCAATGGGCACATCATTACTAGAAACAAATATTGATGATACATATAGAAATGCTCTTAAAAATGTGTCTAAACAATTGGTTTACAGGTAGGGTAGAAAAAAAAATTATTTTTCTATTTTCAAAATATATTTTGATATAAAAAAAAAAATTATTAAATGCAAATAAAACTATAAAATATTCAGACTCGCTAGACCTTGGTTATTTCCAACTTGGATATTTAAATTATTTCCATCTGGTAGAAGTTTTATGGAATCTCTATCAATACTGCATAATTTTTCATCTAAGGTTTGCTTTATTTCTATATATGTGCAATATTTTTTTTTTTTGTTAATTAAAATTAAAATGGAGCATACAGTAAATTTTCGTTTCGTTTTTTTTTTTTTAAATTAAATGGATAATAAAATCTCTGGTAGTACTAAAAATTTTAAATATTTATTATAATATTCCATTTATTATTTGTATATTTAATTTTAATTTGCAGATTATTAAGGAAAAGAAAGACTATCATGAAAAAACAGGAAATGAACATTTAAAATCTCTTATGTCTGCCGATTCACAATTAATTTCAACTGATGATGATCTCAAAAGTACAATAAATATAAAACAATTGAAAATAAAAAAAAAAAATTTTTAATCATTTTTTTCGTTTAAAAAAAAATTTTTTTTAATTATTTAAAGAAATTTTTGTGTAAGAATATCTATTTCTCTTTTTAGGTAGAAAAAAACGAATGGCTATGTTAGATCATTTAATAGCTGCCCAAAGATTTGGTGATCAAATTAATGATGACGGTATTAGAGAAGAAGTTGACACATTTATTTTTGAGGTACATTATTATTATTATTATTATTATTATTTTTTTTTATTTTTTTTTTATTTTATTATTAATTATTATTATTTTATTATTTCAGGGACATGATACCACGGCAATGGCAATATGTTTTACAATATTAATGCTCGCCGAACACAAAGATATTCAGGTTTAATATTTACTTTTTATAATCTTTGAAATTAAATTTAATTAAGAAAATATAATTATCTTCTTTTTTTTGTATTTTTATATAGAATCGTGCTAGAAAAGAAGTGGACGAAATTTTTAATAAAAAAAATGGACAAATTCATATGAGTGAAATTCAACGTTTAAATTATCTTGAACAATGTATTAAGGAAACGTTACGTTTATATCCAAGTGTACCTTTTATATCACGTGAAATAAAGGAGGATTTGCAATTAAGTTAGTTGAACAAAAAAAAAAAAAAAAAAAAAAAAAAAAAAAAAAAAATGAAGCTAATTTTTTTCATATAGAATTTAATTATTAATTTATTTATATTTAAAAAATAAATATTAATTATAATTTTGTGTCTAACTTTTCAGCAAATTATTTGGTTCCCGCTGGTACAAGTACACATTTGCATATTTATGATATTCACAGAGATGTGAATTTTTGGCCAAATCCAGATAAATTTGATCCTGATAGATTTTTACCTGAAAAAATGCAAATTCGTCATCCATTTAGTTATATTCCATTTAGCGGTGGTCCACGTAATTGTATAGGTATATTTGAATTAATATAGTTAAAACAATAATTACTATTTTAGCAAATTCCTTCCTTTTTTTTTGCTAAAATTATATAATTGGGTAATAAATTGAATTATTCCCTATAACTAATTTTTTTTTTGTTTTGAATAATTTTAGGTCAAAAATTTGCCATGTTGGAGCTAAAAACACTTGTTGGACATTTGTTACATAATTTTATTTTTGAACCTATTGATAATTCACAGGATATAATTTTTACCGCCGATTTAGTTTTAAGAGCCGCAACACCAATTCGTGTTAAATTCATAACTAGACGATGATAAATATTCTTTTTCATTTAATTATTTTGTTTGACCATTATAAAAATAATTATAACAAAAATTATATATATATATAATTATAAAAATAAAGATTTTTCTATAATTTTTGCAAACAAATTTTTATTTTTTTTAATAAAATTTTTTTTTTTAAAAAAGGAAATTAGTTTTGTAAATATTAATTATTAATAATATTCTTGTAAAGTGAATCTTTTCTACAATGTTCTTATCGTTATATTTTTTATTTTTATAACTTCAAGACCAAATTTATTATCTTGTGAATACAAGATAACAATGATTTATTAATCTATAAAAAATATGATATTTATATAAATTTATAAAATATATACGCCAACATATTTATACATTATTGACAATGTAATGCAAAAATTAAGAGAATATTAATGCTTTCTGAAAAATTTAGTTTGATATTCTATATAATATTTTTCAAAAAAAAAAAAAATATATATATATATATATATAAAAATTAAAATTTTCTTTTATTTTTGCTTTAATAGAAAATTTTTAGCATTTCTTAATACGGCCCTGAAAATTAAATTACAGTCTGCAACAAACTTCTTTAAAGTGCGTTTTTGATGCTCACAAGCGCAGTAACAGGTTGCATCACTAAAAGAATAGGTTGCGTTGTGTTCATTCTTTATATTAAATTTCAACAAAAATAATAATAATAAATGAATTTGTGATTCGAGAAAAATTTGTCACTATGTTTGTTTTATTATTAATTGTGATATTAGGCTTGGCTTTTTATCATTTTTACACTCACTATGGGAGACGTGGAAAAATGATTAATAAACTACCAGGACCAAAGATTATTCCTTTATTAGGAAATTCTCATCTCTTTCAAGGTTCCCCTGGTGAGTTCAATAAATCAATATTTAAAATAAAATTATAATTTCAATAAAACATAAATTATTATTTTTCAATTAAATTATAATGTAAAATAATATATTATAAATAATATAAAAAATAGTATATAAATAGTATTGAAAAAAATAATTATAATTATAAAAAAAATTTATTTTTTATATTTATCATAGATATAAAAACAATGTTTTTTTTTCAATTGAAAAAAAATTTTTTTTAATCAATTTATTTGTATTCATTTCTAAAAATAAACTATTACATGATGATTAATCTCTAATTAACATTAAGCAATAATAATTCCCACGTAAGAATGATCTAAAGATTACAAATTGACAATTTAAGTAAAAAAAAAATTTGTTTTTTTTTTTAATTTTCTAGCTGATGTATGGAATGTAATAAGAAAACTCAACAAACAATACTCTCGATTGTGGAGAGTTTGGCTGGGTCATTATCCAACAGTAAATCTATATCATCCCGATGATGCAGAGGTGGTTATTATTATTATTATTTTTTTTTTAAATTAACATTTATCGTAAAATTAAATTTTGATATAAATATAAATTTTTTTTGAAAATTTAATTTTGATTTTAATTTTTTTGTTATAAACAATTTAATTTAATAATTGTTCATATTTTACTCTTTTTTTTCTATATAAATTAAACAGATTCTCTTATCGAGTATGAAGTACATTGAAAAAAGTAAAGAATACGATTTTTTGCATCCATGGTTAAAAACTGGCTTACTGACAAGTACAGGTATATAGAATTTAATTTTAATTTTGAAAATTTAAATTAAAAAAAAAGAAAAAAAAAAAGTAGAATTAAAAGAAAGAAATATTAAAAAAAGTAATATAATTGCAGGAAAAAAATGGCAAACTCGACGCAAAATGTTAACGCCCGCTTTTCATTTTAGTGTTCTTAAGGAATTTTTAGATATTTTTGATGAACATTCAAAAATTCTTGTTGAACATTTAAAATCACATGGAGATGAAAGTGTACACGATATTGTGCCAATTTTTACAAAATACACTCTAAACACAATTTGTGGTGAAAATTTTTATAAATTTATTTTATTAATTATTATTATTATTATATTTAAAAATTTAATCTTATTTAGAAATTTTTATTTTACTTCATATATTATTTTTTTTTAGAAACTGCAATGGGTACTTCATTGCACGATTCAGATACTCAAGATGATACATACAGAAATGCTTTGCATCATCTTGTAGAAATTTTATATTACAGGTAAAAAAAAAAATTAAATTTCATTTAAAAAATTAATTACATCATTAAAAAAAAAAAAAACCCGCATTTTTATTCAGAGCATTCAGACCATGGTTGGCAGCAGATTGGATTTTCAATTTATTTTCAAAAGGTGGATTATTTAATCAATATCTGATGATGCTTCATAAATTTTCAACAAATGTAACAGTTTTTGTTTTCAATTTAATTTGAACTATTATTTAATTTTAATTAAATTATTTAGTTGTTATTTAAATTATTAATATAAAATACCAATATAACTTATAAATGTAATTAATAATTTTAATAATTGAAATAATAAAATATAATTAATTAAAATTAATGAAAGTCAAAAAAATTTAATTTAACGTATTATTTTGTTTATATAAAGATTATCAATGAAAGAAAAGAATTTCATGAACAAACAGGAGATCGACATTTGAAATCTATTATTTCATCAGATACATCAACAAATATAGCGTATGATGGAATAAAAAGTAAATATATATCTTCTAAATAAATTTTGAATTTGTTCACTAATTTAAATTTAGATAGTTTATTTATAAATTATTATAATAATATTTATAATATCTATTATAATTAATAATTAATAATTATTATTATAAATATTATATAATGTAAATTATTATTATTAATATAAATAATAATTATTATTCAACTTTATGATTTTAATTATGAAAAAATTAAAACTCTTATATGAATACAGGTCGAAAGAAACGAATGGCAATGTTAGATCATTTAATTGCTGCACAAAAATTTGGCGATCAAATTGATGACGACGGTATTCGAGAGGAAGTTGATACATTTATATTTGAGGTAATACTAAATTCCGTCAATATGCAAAAATCGACTCTAAAAATACATAGTCCAGATTACGTATTTTATTATGTTAAAATATTTATTTTTTTTAAAATCAATTTATTAATTATAAAGAAATAAATTTATAATTGTTTTTTTAATTTTTCAATTTTTGCACAGGGACATGATACAACATCAATGGGAATGTGTTTCGTACTATTAATGCTTAGTGAACACAAAGAAATTCAGGTTTATATATGTATTTTTTATAATTCGTTAAATTTTTAATTATTAATATATTTTATAATTAATTAATTAATTAATTTTATAATTAATTAATTAATTAATTTTATAATTAATTAATTAATTAATTTTATAATTAATTAAAGTTGTCATAATAATTAAATAATCGAATATTTATTTGAATCTATTAATTTTTTTTAGTTTTCTTTCTCTTTTTTCTTTTGGAAAATTTTTTTTATTTTGAAAGTAAATTTTTGTTGAAGGTCTATTTTTTAACAAATTGTAATTTTTTGAATAATATTACAGGATCAAGCGCGAGAGGAAGTCGATATGGTTCTAAATGAAATGAATGATAAAATTGGTACAGCTGAGATACAGCAATTGAATTATCTTGAACAATGTATTAAGGAAACATTGCGTTTATATCCATCAGTTCCTCTAATATCGCGACATCTTCATACAGATTTGCAATTAGGTAATATTATTATTTTCAATTCTTCAATTTAATTAACAAAAAATAAATAATAACCATTTTTTTTTTTTTAGAAAATTATTTAATTCCGGCTGGTTGTAGTGCGGATTTGCATATTTATGATTTACATAGAAATCCAAATTTTTGGCCTGATCCGGAAAAATTTGATCCCGATAGATTTTCACCTGACAGAAGTCAAAAACGTCATCCGTATTCATTTGTTCCATTTAGTGCTGGTCCACGCAATTGTATAGGTATACAATATAAAACAAATTTTAAACTAAATTGATAAATTAATTAATTAATTATCATATATATCAATTAATAAATTAATTATTATGTATTAATTACTTAATTAATTGTTATGTATTAATTAATAAATATTTTTTTATTAAATCATAATTTTTTTTTAACATTTATAATTTTATTTCAGGTCAAAAATTCGCTATGATGGAACTAAAGACATATATGGCACATATTCTACATAAATTTATTCTCGAGCCAGTTGATTATTCTAAGGATATAATTATTAATTCCGATTTAGTTATAAGACCCGCTGTTCCAATTCGCGTGAAATTCACAGCTAGAGTAAAATAGATTCAATTTTTTTTTTTTTAACATTATTAAAACATAATAGATTATATAATTTTAAACGGATGCAGTTTTATTTATTTGAAATAAGTAAATAATAAAAATAAACAAATAGTAAAAAGTAAATAATAAAAATAAACAAATAGTAAAAAGTAAATATAATAAAAATAAACAAATAGTAAAAAATAAATAATAAAAATAAACAAATAGTAAAAAAATAAATAACAAATAAATAATACAAAAAAAAACATAATTTTTTTTCTTACTAATAGGAGATAACAATAAATCTACTTTTTTGTGTACTATATAGACAAATGTAATAAATTTTTAACAATAAAACAAAAATTATTAAATAAATACACAATAATTTTTTTCTTGATACAGTACTGATGATGATGATCATATAATGATGATCATATAAAATATATAATTTTTTTCTTGATACAGTACTGATGATGATAATCATATAATGATTATCATGTAAGAAAATATTTATGTGCCAAGAGTTTGATATATAGCAAGTCACATTCGACATTAAAAAAAAAAAAGAAAAGAAAAGAACTTTTTTTTTTATACTTCTGAATCAATGTCGATTAATTTTACTCATCATCAGTGTGAAGTCAGTCGTTGATAAGTTAACATCATGTTTCTGTTATTGCTAACTGTTGCGATAATTCTAATATTTTATCATGTTTCAACACAATATAGCAGGCGTGGACGAATTTTAAACAAATTACCGGGTCCATCGACTTTTCCATTAATTGGAAATTTGCCATTATTTATGTGCTCATCCAGTAAGTACAATAAATTAAAATTAATGGGACAAGTTTTTAATTCTTTTTTTAAATTAATACAATAATTATATATATATTAATTATAAATCATTATATGTAATAATAGCTAATTAGTCTTTTGAAACTTTAATAAACAATAATTAATTAATTTCTGTATTTTTTTTTCTTTTTTTTTTTTAATCGCGAGAAGAATCGAACCTCTGACCCTCATTATTAAACATAACACATACGCCTTAACGACTGGGGCTGTCGCCGGTATACAAAATTAATATAATATTGTATATTAATAATATATAATAATTATATAATATAAGCAATAATAATAACAATAATAATAATAATAATAATAATAATAATAATAATAATAATAAAATAAAAATATAAAATAGTAAAAATGTAATTTTTTTTTTAGCTAAACTATGGAAAGTATTACGAGGACTGACTAAAAAATATTATCCAATCAGCAGAATTTGGATTTTACATTATTCTGTAGTTTATTTGAGTCATCCGGACGATGCAGAGGTAAATTATTTTATTTATTTCATATAACGAATAAAATAATAATAAAAAAAAAAATTTCTTTTTACAGATTTTATTATCGAGTATGAAGCATATTGAAAAAAGTAGATTGTATGATTTTTTGCATCCTTGGCTAAAAACTGGTTTATTGACAAGCACAGGTAATAATAAAACTATTAATTATGTTGATGATTTGGTTTTTTTTTTTTTTTTTTTTCTATTTTTAATATTAATTTTTCGCAGGAAAAAAATGGCAGCATCGTCGTAAAATGTTGACGCCCGCTTTTCATTTTAATGTTTTACAACAATTTCTTGATATTTTTGTTGAACAAGGAAATAATCTTGTGAAAAATTTAAAATCACAGGGTGACGAAACTATTCAGAATGTTGTACCACTTTTCACAAAGTATACTCTAAATACTATTTGTGGTGAAAATAATTTTTATTTTATATATTTTAATGTAGTTTATAAATATTATACAAGGTGATATTTTTTTTTTTTTATTATTATTTTTTATAGAAACTGCAATGGGTACTGTTCTTCATGAAGCAGATATTCAAAATTCTTATAGAACAGCTCTTACCAAATTAGTGGAAATTATGCTTTATAGGTAAAAATTTTTGAAACAATTTTTTAAATTAAAAAAAAAAATTTATTAAAATAATCACAAAACAAAAATATAGTATAAATATTGTTAAATAATTGTTATTAATTTAAAAAAAAATTTTTTTTTTTATTTATTAGAGCATTTAGGCCATGGTTGCACAACAAATGGATTTTTAAATTACTATCAAATGGAAAGGAATATGAGAAATATTTGTCAGTACTTCATAATTTTTCCAGAAAGGTAAACAAATAAATCCAATAATGAGAGAAATTTGCATTATTTTTAATATTATTGTTTATCAACATTATATTATTATTTGAAATATTTTTGAATATTAAAAAATTTATTTTCTATTGTACATTATAGAGTTAATTTTTATAAATGCAGATAATAAAAGAAAGAAAAGAATATCATGAGGAAACGGAAAATCAATATCTAAAATCAATTTCAACAAATAATCAATTAATTTCATCAGTTGTTGTTGATGATGATGGAATAAAAGGTATAAAAAAAATTATTTAAATATTTAAATATTTCGTGCATTACGACAGAAAAAAAAAAATTTGAAATTCTTTTTTCATTTAGGTCAAAAAAAAAGAATGGCAATGTTGGATCATTTAATTGCAGCTCAAAAATTTGGTAAACAAATTGATGACGAAGGTATTCGAGAAGAAGTTGATACTTTTATATTCGAGGTATTTTTTAAGACAAAAATAATTAAAAATTAATTAATTTAAAGGAAAAAATTAATTTTTATTATTTTATTTTTTTTTGTAGGGACACGACACCACAGCAATGGCAATGTGTTTTGCTGTTTTAATGTTGGCTGAACATAAAGATGTTCAGGTTTACATTTTTACAAATTTATATATTTTTTTCATTTATTAAAAAAAAAATTTTTTTTTTAATTTTGAATTTTATTTAGGATCGAGTGAGAAAGGAGGTCGATTATTTACTTGATGGAAAAAATGGCAAAATTACTTCAGCGGAAGTGCAAAATATGAATTATCTTGAACAATGTATTAAAGAGACATTACGACTTTATCCAAGTGTACCATTTATAGCTCGTAAAGTTAATGAAGATCTTCAATTAAGTAATTAATAATTAATTTACAACTAATTATTAATTTAAAATTAATAATAAATTTATATTCAATTCTTTGCAATTTATTTAGATTAAAAATTTAGAATTAATTATTTTACAATTAATTACTTGCAATAATTATAAATTTATAAATTTTGAATAATTAATTGCAATTAATTTATAATTAATATTTATTTAATAAATAATAATTAAGCTTTGTAAAATTAAAAAAAATATATATATATATATTTCAGAACATTGTTTCATACCGGCTGGTACTATTGTCGATTTACACATTTTTGATCTTCATCGAGATCCAAATTTTTGGCCAAATCCAGAAAAATATGATCCCGATAGATTTTTGCCTGAGAAAATGCATAATCGTCATCCATTTAGTTACGTTCCCTTTAGTGGTGGTCCACGCAATTGTATAGGTAAAAATTTAAAAAAAAAAAAATTTTTTTTTTTTCTTGATAAATCTTTTGTAAAAAAAAATTATATCGAGAAACATTTAAATACATAATAAATTGAAATTCTGCTTTACAGGTCAAAGATTTGCCATGTTGGAACTTAAAGCACTTTTGGCACATTTGATATATAATTTTATTTTTGAACCTATTGATAATTCACAAGATATAATTTTTACCGCGGATTTAGTTTTAAGAACTGAATCACCAATTCGTGTGAAATTCATTTCCAGAATTAAATAAAACACTTTAAATTGTAAATAGCAATTTCAAAAAAAAAAAAACAAAAAGTTTAATAAAAATTTGCATAAAAACAAAAAAAAATTTTTTATTTTGTTTAATTTATTTGGGGACGCATGAATAAGCTCTGAAAACAAATTTGTTAGAAGTTACATTTGATAGAATTTTAATCAGCAGAATATTAATTTACCAGAAAGTCAATTTTAATTGACTTAATTAATTTCTGGCAAATTTAAATTCGGTCAAACTTAATTTCTGACAAATTAAAATTCGATCAAATTGATTTTCTGCCAAATTTAAATTCGGTCAAATTTAATTTCTGGCAAATTAAAATTCGATCAAATTGATTTTCTGCCAAATTAAAATTCAATGAAATTAATTTTCTGGTAAATTAATATTGTTAAAATTCTCTGAGATATTTAACTTCTAACAAATTTGTTTTAAAGCTTATTCATGCATTTCATTTATTTTAGTGGATTAAATTCAAAATTTTACTTTTTGACTATTTTCAATATCAAAATAATTAAAATTTTCTTTGTTACGAAAAATGTATATATTAAAGAAAAAAACATTTTAAAAATAAATAATTATCTTTGTGTCAATAAGGTTCTGATAAATGATCTTGCGCAATAAAGAGACGTTTATATTGTATTTTAAAATATGTGATTAGTGACGAATTACTTTCGCTAAAAGAAAGATGCTGTATAAATAAATTACAGTGAAAAATAATTTTCAATTTTTTTGAAGTTTTTTGGGGAAAAATTTGATTACAAAAAAAAAATGTTTGTTTTATTATTAATTGTAACGATATGTTTAGGATTCTATCATTATTATACTCGATATGGTAGAATTGGAAGAGAATTAATTAAATTACATGGACCATTTATATTTCCTTTTATAGGAAATCTTCATTTGTTTTTCGGAACTCCGAGTGAGTAGATAAAAAATTCAAATTCAATTTTTTTTTTTAAAAAACAAGTTAAAATTTTTAGAGGAACTGTGGCATTTAACAAGATGGATTAATAAAACATATTCGCCAATTAATAGAATTTGGTTAGTTCATTATCCCGCGGTAAATCTTTTTCATCCAGACGATGCAGAGGTAATTTAATTTTTTTATTTTTAAATTCAAAATTAAATATTTAATTTTTTAATAAAATTTAAAAAAAAATATTATTTACAGATTTTATTATCTAGCATGAGACACATTGAAAAAAGTAGAATTTACAATTTTTTACACCTTTGGCTAAAAACTGGATTACTCACAAGCACAGGTGGTGATTAATATTGTTGACAGAAAAAAAATTTTTTTTTAAATTTTAAATATTTTCAATTTTTCTTTCTACCAAATATTAATTGTAGGCAAAAAATGGCAACATCGACGTAAAATGTTGACACCTGCTTTTCATTTTCGTGTTCTTGAACAATTTTTGGATATTTTTATTGAAGAAGGAAATAAACTTGTGGAAAATTTAAAATTATCAACTAACGAAAATATTCATGATATTGTGCCACTATTTACTAAACATACTCTAAATGCAATTTGTGGTGAGAAAAATATATTTAATCCGTTTTTTAAAATTTTATTTATTTTTTAAAAATTTATTTTTTTTAGAAACTGCAATGGGAACTTCTTTAAATGAAGCAGATATGCAAAATGTATACAGATCAGCCCTTAACAATATTATAGAAGTTATAATTCATAGGTAAATATTTCATCTTTTTAGAAATAGAAAAAAAAAGTAAAAAATAATTTTTAAGAGTATAAAAATGTAAATTTTAATTATGTTCAGATTATTTAGACCCTGGTTATTTGATGATTTTATTTTTAAATTAGTTCCAAGTGGAAGAACATTTATGAAATATTTGCCAATTCTTCATAATTTTTCCCATAAAGTGAGTTTCTTTTGTTTGAATTATTATTGAATGAAAAATATTTATTGTGTAAACAATTTTTTGTTTTTTTTTGTTTTATTAAAAGATAATAGAAGAAAGAAAAGAATATCATGAGCAAACTAAAAATCGATATTTAAAATCAATTATATCAGAAGATAAACCATTAATTCCGTTAATTGATGAAACAAAAGGTAATATAAATTTATATTTTTATAAATTATGTATTTTGGACATTTTTTTTTAAAATTAAAATATTGTATTTACTTAAATTATTAAAAAAAAATAGTTAATACTACTAAATTATTAAAAATTGTTTTATTTTACTTTTGTTTTTTTTTGTAAATCTAATTTTTTCCTTTGCCTCAGGTAATAAAAAAAGAATGGCAATGTTGGATCATTTAATTGCAGCCCAAAAATTTGGTAAACAAATTAATGACGAAGGTATACGTGAAGAAGTTGATACATTTATTTTTGAGGTGTTAAAATTTTTTTCTAAAAAAAAATTTAGTATTTAATTTTTTGGTTTTAATTTTTATTGTCACATTTTAGGGACATGATACAACTGCAATGGCCTTCTGTTTCTCAATGCTAATGCTTGCTGAACATAAAGAATGCCAGGTTGAAATTTCTTTCACTATTTTTTTTTTTTTTTTTGTTTATAAATAAAAATTAATTTCATTTTTTTTTACTCTATATAATAAAAATGCAAAAAAAATTTATTTATTAATGAAAAGACATTCTAAAAATGAAATAAAATATCTTACATATTTATTTATGTAAAATTAATAATTAACATAAATTATTATTTAGGAAAAGTATTGATTCTATTTTTAAAAGTTTATTGAAGAAACTTGTATTTTTGGTAAACAGGACCAAGCGAGAAAAGAAGTGGATCAAGTTTTAAATAATGAAAGGAATGGAAAATTATGTATGGCAGATGTGCAACGATTAACATATCTTGAACAATGCATTAAGGAAACTTTACGTTTATATCCCAGTGTTCCTTTCATATCGCGAAAAATTAATGAAGATCTTCAATTAAGTTAGTTTGAAAATAGTTTTTTTTTTTAGAAATATTTTACTAATTTAATTTTTTAATAATTATAAATTATTAATTAAATATGCTAATTATTTAGCAAATTAATAAAATAAATAATTAATTATCTAATTAATTAAATAATTGTTCCATTAATTAAATAAAAAATTAATTGCCGAATTAATTAAACAATTTATTTTGTTTTATAATTAAATTTCTTTTTTTTTTTTAGAGAATGTTAACATTCCGGCTGGATGCAGTGCTCATTTGCATATTTTTGATTTGCACAGAAATCCCGATTTTTGGCCAGAACCAAATAAATTTAATCCCGAAAGATTTTTACCAGAAGAAATAAATAAACGACATCCATTCAGCTATATACCATTTAGCGGTGGTCCACGTAATTGTATAGGTAATAAAAAACCATGAAAATAGTAAAGAAAAGAAAATTTTTTTTTATTATAATAATTAATAATAATTAAATTATAAATTATAATAAAATAATAATTATAATTATTATTTTTTTTTATTTTTCAGGTCAAAAATTTGCAATGCTCGAGTTAAAAGTGATTTTAGCGTATTTACTACATAATTTCATCTTTGAAGCTATTGATCATTCAAAAGATGTTATTTTTACTTCAGATTTAGTTTTAAGACCCGACATGCCTGTTCGAGTGAAATTCATCACTCGGAAAAAATAATGTATTCCTATTTTTGTTTTCTTGTTATTTAAAGATTTCTTTCATTTTTTTTTTCAATTATTTGAAAATTATTATTATTATTATTATTATTATTATTTAAAATATGAATAAGTAATTAAGTATTTTAATAATTTAAAATATAATTATTATTTAATTACAAAATATTTTATATCTTCAATTATGTGCTAAAAAAATGATTTTTATTTTGTTCCAGTTTCAAAATGGAGGACCCAATATGGTCGACCAGGGGCGTCCAAAGAAATCACTTATGTGGGGGCTTTTTCACTTTTTTTTGTGAAAAAAATACTAAAAATGTTTTTTTTTTTTGCCAAATATATTTGAAAATACAATTTTTTTTAAAATTAAGACAATGGTAACATAAAAAATTTGTTAATAAATCATTTTAATTTAATTTTTTTTTGTCTTCAATTCTTTTTTAATTTTAAAAATTTGATCTTAAAATTGTTTCTTATACCCTATAAAATAATTGTCAATTTAAAAAGTATAAGAGTGCATAAATTATTGTAATCTTTCTTATAAGAGTGAATTTTGTTTTTTAAGTGATGGCAATTTTTTAAGTGATTTAACGCTTCATTTTAATATATAATATTGAGAAAAGACTGTGGGGGGCAATGAGCCTATCGCAACAGTTCAAAATGAAATTCAACGAAAGAGAAGAAGGGGGTTTGTGTCGTAAACAAGACTTGTATACATTTAACATAATACATGAAATAATTAGAACTTACAGAGCAGTTCATATTGAAACGTTGCGCTATTCACAATTCAATTACCTGCAACAAATTATTATTATTATTTTTATTATTAACAAATAATTTAATAAAAAAAAATATTAGCAAATTTTTGCCATAAAAAATATTTTGCAATTTTTTTTTCATTTTTTTGAAAATTATGAAAAATTACTAAAACTACTAAATATTGATAAATTAAAAAAAAAAAACAAAAAAAAAAAATGATAATTATTTTGGTGTTTTTCGTGATAGCATTAGGTGTTTTTCATTTTTTAGTTCATTATGATAAAAAGGGCATTATTATTAATAAAATACCTGGACCAAAACCCCTACCAATATTTGGGAATATTTTAAGTTTTATGGTCCCACAAAGTAAGGACTCTTAAAAAACAAATTGATTTCTACTTTTGTGATTTTTTTTTCTTCTTCTAATATTAATAATTATATAAATTCTTTTTTTTCTCTTAAAAAAAAAATTAACCATTTACAATTAAATGTCAAAGAAAAATTTTAATAAAAAAAAATTATTATTCTAATTATGTTAAAAACAAAAGAGAATTGTTTAATTAAAAAAAAATTTTTTTTTTAACAATGTAAATTATTAGTTTTTTTTAATATTTTTTTTTTAATATGATATATAAAATATTTATTTATTATTTTTTGCATTCAGATGAAACAATTCTAAAAAATTGGGAAAAAAACTAATTTTTTTTTTTTTTAATTATTACAGATAAATTATGGAATGTAAAGAGAAAAATAAACAGGGAATTTTATCCCATAAATAGAACTTGGAACTTTGGAAGACCTTTTGTTAATATTTATCACCCTGACGATGCTGAGGTAAGAATTTTTTTTAGTTAAAAATATTTTTTTTTTTTTGATATAATTACTTTTAAATTAATAAAGAAAAAATCGAATTTTCATTTTTCATAAATTTCTTGATTTAAATTTGAAAATATATTAGTATTTAAAAATAGAAAGAAGAAATAGAAAATCGTTTCCATTTTATTAACATTATAGTATTCAAGTATAATATTCTTAAATTAAGAAATAAATTCGTAAATTAAAAATATTTTATGTTTTAAAAATATATATTGGAAGCTAAAATATATTCTTAAAATAAGAATAACTTTTTTTAAATAATTATAATAGTAATTAAAATTCTTTTATTAAATTAAAATAAATACATAAAAATTATTTTCAAAAAAAAATGATTATATTAATAATATTATTATATTATTAATATATTATTAATAATATTATTATATTATTAATAATAATTATATCTAATATTATCAATTGATCACGCCAAAAAAAATTTCACCTAGAACAGCGATATGTTTCATTAAAACAGGGAAATTTTTCGCTATTCTAGAGAAATATATCGCTGTTCCAGGTTAAGATTTTTTTGCGTGATTAATAATTAATTAATCGTATAATTAATTTTAAAAAGCTGAATTAAATTTTTTTTTTAAATTGCTAATTAAAATTGGTAATTAAAATTATCAATTAAAATTAGTAACTAATTTTTTTTTAATTATATTTTAATTTTTTAATTATAAAAAAAGTTAATTCATAAATACACGTCGAAAGAAATTTTTTTATTCATTTCAAAAATAGTTTATTTGAATTAAATAAAAATCTATCTCAAGGCTTTATAAGTATTTATTTCTTTAATTTTTCAAACAATAATGAATATTTAAATGAAATTTGTTGCCTAGAGTAAGGCGCAAAGAAATTTTAAGCCGATACAGTAGAATTCATATTTACTGACAATTTAAAAAAATATATATATTTTTATATCGTTTTGTAATTTCTTTTTTCCGCTTACTTATAACAATAATTATTATTATAATTAATAAATAATTTCTATTCTATGCAAAATTTTTATTAAAAATAATAATTTATATATAAATTTAAAAAAATTAGTTAACATATATATTTTGTCTGATTGTTTTCGCATATAAAAAAAAAATATATGTAAATATTTATAAAAAAAAAAAAGTTTACAACCTTTTCAAAAGAATTTATAAAAAAAAGTTTAAAATATTTTTTTCAAAAATGCATTTTGAACAAAAAAGTTTAAAAACATTTTTTTAAATAAAAATTCATAATTCTTAAATTATATTTTTTAATTATTAAATTGCAATTATTTTTTAATAAATTTTTATTAATTATTTGTTTATATTATGAAAGACATTGAAAAACATATTTTGAAAATGCCAGACATAATTGTGTAAAAATGTTTAATTTAAAAAAAAAACAATTTTTGTCCTTATAAATATATACATACATATATATATATAATAATCTTTGACCAATAAATAATTAATTGTTGATGTATCAATTAATTAGTTTATATTTTTAATCTTTGAAAAGAGACGTTCAAATGTCACAAACACGCCCACTTTTAATCAATTCAAATACGTATTAATTGTTATCTCTGTGACGTATTGCCGGGATGTCCAGACAATGAAATATCGCGATATATATATATATATATATATATATATATAAAATTATAGCGGCCTCGAGAACGTAAGAAATTATGTGTATTATATTATGCATTTATGCCCCTTTCTTATCATCGACATATTTGTATTTCATTTTATATTTTCTTTTTTTTTTTTAATTTTCTTTGCAACAAACTCGTCTGGAAGATATAAAAAATTTCTTAATCAGCATATATAGACAATTGCTTTGAAACTTTGGACTATGAACGGAAGTGTATATGCGGAGTATTATATATTATATTTTTCATCTCCCTCTCTCCCTTTATTTATTTATTGCAAATCATTATTTGATTAAAAGATTGATTTTTGATATTCTACAAAAAAATGATGTTGCAATATTTTTGAGATTAGAATCAGTAGACGGTGATTAATTTCTTCTTTTTTTTTTTTATTAAATTGACTTTGAAATTTTTTTTTTTTTTTTTTGCCAATCATTGCATTAGATTTAATTTTTTTCAGTGACAAATTATTATTATAATGAATTATATTATTATATGAAAATAATTACGCACAGAGCAAAAATATAAATTTTTCTCAAAGCCAAATAAAATACTTACCTATTTATGTTTTGAATAAATTTTATATAATTTTATTTGCACTCAAATTTTATTTGTTTTAAATAAATTTTATTTCAGCTGAATGAAATTTTACTCGACTGCTAAATAACTTTTTATTTTTGCTAAATCAAAATTTTTTTTTTATATGAAACAAAAAGTTATTAGGCTCTTGAGACAAATATAATTATTTGATTTTAATAAATTTTATTTGTCTCAAATAAATGTAGAATAAAAGGTTTTTTTTTTCTTATAAAACCGCCTTTATTTTATTTTTTTTTTTAATTAATAAACCAAAATTATAATGAAAAAATTTTTTTTTATGCATTTTTAGAAATTATTAACAAGTATGAAGCATATTGAAAAAGGTGATGTTTATCACATGACAATGCCATGGTTAGGAACTGGATTGTTGACAAGTGCCGGTAAGTTTATGAAAATAATTATATAATAATTAATTTAATTAATTTAATTATTTTAATTATTTAATAATATTAATTTAATATTAATAAAAATTATGTTATAAAAAAATTCTATAATTAAATAGCCACAGAAAAACCAAGAAAAATCCTCAATTACCGAAACGAAAAAAATTATTCTAAATTTGAGAAAAAAAAATAAAATGAATTTTTTTTTCTTTTTTGATTAGAAAAAAGAATTTTTTTTTTATATAAATAGTCTAGATTTTCTTTTTGTTTTTTTTTCGAGTTTATAGTTAACTGTCCAGATATTTAATAGTATATATAAGTATTTTGTATTTATAACTATTTGATTTGATAGAAGAGTTTAATACAATTAAGAGAAGAAGTCACATTCGAAGTCCACTTGTGGGCGTCTGATTACAATGGGTCAATGTTTGCCACTTAATTCTGATAACAAAAACATTATAATGACTATCACATTTTTTTTAGTAAAAAAAAAAATAAATAAAAATTTAGATTTTTTTTTAGCAAAAAAAAAATAAATAAAAATTTAGATTTGTTTCCTTTTTTTAAATCAATTTAAAATATTTAATTTATTCAGGAATGAAATGGCAAAAAAGAAGGAAAATGCTGACACCAGCTTTTCATTTTAATGTTTTATTGGATTTTGTCGATATTTTTAATGAAAATGGAGAAAACCTTGTGAATTCATTGAAATCGGAAAAAGGATCTTTTGTCAAGGATATCGTACCACTTTTGACTAAACACACCCTAAATGCAATATGTGGTAAAAAAAAAAGTTTACTTTTTTTTGCAAAAATTATATTTTTTTTTTAATTAAATAAATAAAAATTTTAAATTATAGTCTAAAAATTAATCAAAAATTTGTGCAATAAATTTTCCAAAAATTTTGAATTTATTTTTAAAATATTTTAATAATTAAAAATATTGATCAAAATTAATTAGAAACTGCAATGGGGACTTCACTTCACGATGTCAATACCAGAGATACAGATTATAGGTCTGCTGTTACACAAATAGGCGACTTGTTTATATACAGGTGAAATTGTCGAAAAAAAAATCCATTATGCTTCAATTTTTTAATTTTTATAATTTAATTAATTAATTTATATTTATTTATAAAGGGAAAATTTTTTTTTTTTTTTTTTTAGATTCTTCAGACCTTGGTTACATCCTGATAAAATATTTTATTCAACCTCTGTAGGAATTAAGCAGGCAAAATTATTAAATATTCTTCATGGTTTTTCGAATTCGGTAAGACAATAAGAAAAACTGGAATATTTTATAAAAAAAATTAGCTAATATATTAATTAAAAATGCTTAATTAATTTACTTTAATTTTTCGAGAAAAAAATTTTACAGGAAATTAGATTTTTATTGATAAATAAAAATTTATTGATAATAAAAGTCGATAATTTCTACGTTACAATGTCTTGACTAAAATAATAATAAGAATTAGAAGAGGGAAAAATTAATTTAACTAGAATAATCAGTAGTAAAATACATTTTTAGTCAGACAATTAACTTTTTCAAAAAATCTACATTTTTTATTTTTATTCTAGTAAAAGGCATTTTCAGTCCAGACAAAATGTTTTTTTTGTACAATGTATTAGTATTAAAAGACATTTTCATTAAGACAAATATCTTTTAAATTTGTTATTAGTAACAAAAACCAATTACAGTAAGACAAAATATTTCAAATACTCGAAATTTAATTATAAAGTTTATTCAAATCACTTGAAAGAATATTTATTTAATTTGTCTGACTAAACAAAGATTGTATTACTGAAATTATAAAAAGAAAAAATAATCTCAGTAGAAAAATAAGTCAACGATCAGACTGTTTGCACATTCTTTTTTACTACTTAAAATATCTTTTATTTCCCAATTGTATCAAAACGAAGTTGTTCTTTTTAATTTTTATTTCAATTCGTTTTCAGTTTATTACTATTATTATATTACATATATTTAAATAATATAAAATAAATAAATTTTTCAGATAATTTTTGACAGAAAGAAATATTATGACGATGTAAGGACAAAATCGAACATTGAAATAAATAAAAAATCACAAAACGTTGACAACGATTTGGAATTTGGTATTAATTATTACGAAAATTAAAATTCTGTTTTAATTATTATTAGGAAATTTTTTTGTTTATAAATAAATTATTTTACAAAAATTCATATTTTATTTGAATTTTTTTTTCATATAAAAATTTTGTCTTCTTTTTTTTTTTTAGTTAAAAAGAAGAGAATGGCTATGTTAGATACTCTCATAGCTGCACAAAAAAATGGTCAGCAAATTGATGATGAAGGAATTAGAGAAGAAGTTGATACTTTTATTTTTGAGGTTTATTATAATAAATATTTGCAATATATAAATATAAAATATAAATTAACTAATTTTTTTAAATGAAATTTTACTATTTTCAGGGTCATGACACAACTGCAATGGCTTTATGCTTTGCTGTATCACTTCTTGCAGAACATAAAGAAATTCAGGTAGAAAAAAGAAATCAAAATACGAAAAAATTTTTAAAAATTCTATTAATTAAAAAATGATTTTTTTTTTTTGTTAATAGGAACAAGCACGAAATGAAGTAGATGATGTATTGAGAGAAAGTAATGGTAAAATGGGAATGGGTGAATTACAAAAATTTGTTTACGTTGAACGTTGTGTTAAAGAATCATTAAGATTATATCCCAGCGTTCCAATGGTTTCACGAAATATTCGTCAGGATTTACAATTAAGTAATTTTTTTTCTATTTTCATTTTAAAATTATTTTTTTATTATTTCAATTTTTTTTTTTAATAAATTAATTTGATTTTAATTTCTTTTAATAAAAATAGATTTAAAAAAATTAGTGTAAAAATTTTAGAGAATTATGTTGTCCCTGCTGGTTCATGTATTCAACTTTATATTTATGATCTTCATCGAGATCCAGAATTTTGGCCAAATCCACAGGTGTATAATCCAGATAGATTTTTACCTGATCGAATTCAAGGAAGACATCCTTATTCATATATTCCCTTTAGTGCAGGAGCTCGAAATTGTATTGGCAAGTATTTAAAAAAAAAATCGAATGTTATTTTAAATTTTTTCAAAAAATTTTTTTTTTTTTTTATTCAAATAATAATAATATTTTTATTATAATTAAAATATTATTACTATTTAAATAAAAAAAAATAATTATTATTAAAAATAAAAAAAATATTTCTTATATTTTATTAATGAGGAAAACATTTTTTTACAGGTCAAAAATTTGCATTACTTGAATTGAAGGCGATTGTTGCGCACATTCTTTATAATTTTGAATTAGAGGCAATAGATTTGGCACATGAAATAAATATTCTCGCCGATTTGGTTATTAGACCTGCTCAACCAATTCGTGTGAAATTTATTCCAAGAAACAAATAAATAAATCGACAATAAAATATATTAAAAAAACAAAAAAAAAATAATTGTAAATGAGAAATATTTTTTTTTTTTTATAAAAATATTCGTTTTTTTAATTATTTTTTCTAGTTTTAATATTTGTATATTAGATTCTATTTGTTTATATAATAAAAAAAAAAAAATATTTTAAATTAATTACTAGCTGAAAAAAATTATTTGTATAAAAATACACAGAGAAATGTAAATCAAAACTAAAATCCGAAAGAACTATTTTTATAAAACAAAAATTTGTGAAAATTTTTATAAAATAACTTTTTTTAATAGATTTATTTATTTCTTTAAATTTTAACTACAAATTGGACTAAAATTATTTTGAAAAAAAAAAATTCTTTTTTCGGATTTTTAGTTTCAATTTCCATTTCCTTTGGAAAAGAAGATAGAAATGAGATAAGACAGATCATCGGAAATAAATCTTTACAACATAGCTTATATTTCGTAAGATTCTTTCGAATCAGCCAACTACCACTGTTTTTTTTTTTTTTTTTTTTTTGTTCCTTTTTTTTATACAAAGCGTCCATCCATAAAACAATACAACTTGGTGGTTTTTTTTTTTATTTCCGGTTAGTTAAGCTATCAGACAACCAAAAACGCTTTTTTACAAATAAAAAGCGCCAATTCACGAACAAAAAAAAAAAAAAAACACCCTCTCCGTAACATCCGCTTACTCTTATCTATTTTCAAGCCTATTGTATACGCATATTTGAGAAAATTTTCTTTCTACGAGATAATGTTTTTCATTTAAATTGTATAAAAAAAAAAATTATTTTGCGTAACAAGTGTACAATTGAAAAAAAAAATATGGGTCACTAAAGCGGCCGTATCAAAAATAGAGAGCAAACGATCAACACAAATTTATGTTGCCTTAATAGTTACTTTATCTCAGTGCACTATACTCGTAACACGCGAAAATATTCATAGGAACAATATTTGGATACGATGTATAGTCACCTGAATAGGACGCATCTTTGGTGACGTTTGCAACGTGAGTAAAAAAAAAAAAAATTCTTTTTTTCTTTTTTTTTACCACGATGTGCAAAATTTGGTATTCTTGCATACTACAATAAGGTACTGATTTTCACGATTCTAAAGTGCACATTTACAGTACAAGACGTTGTGTATAAATTAGTAATTTATAAAACTACACATCACAATTTTTTTCTTTGCGGAATTTTTTTTTTTCTTTTTTTTGTGTGTGTATGTTTTAATATACGAAAGAAATTCTTTTTCCGCTTTTATTAAAAAGTACAAGAGTTTAAAGAATTTTCTTTTTATATACTTCATTTTAAAAACAATTTATTTTTTTTATTAATTTTAATTATTTCTAATTTTTAATTGTTGTTTTTTTTCTAAATAGTAAAAGCTAAGAGAAAAAATTTTTTTTCGATATATTAGAATTGAGAATTTACAAATTTTGAATTTTTTTTTTTTTTTGATTCTCTATAAGAAAGACACAAGTCAGTCTTTGTCTCCCTTTGTAAATCACCTTTATATAAATATTGTGATATAACAGCCTTTTACGCTCACACTTGGAAAGCATATAAAAAAAATATAAAAAAATCGAAATATACAGAAAAAGAAGTAACTATGATTTAAGTACAAAACTTTATTGGAAAAAAAGAGAAACTTTACCAAAAAAGCAACGAAAAATTTTTCGATTAAAAATACAATCGAAAACTTTATCCAAGCGAATCCTGATTGAAAAAAAAAATCATTCATATCAAAATAAATAAATTATAATCAGATCAATTGAAAAATCCATAAAAAAATAAATTTCACGTTATGAAAAATAAATAAATAAATAAAAAAAAATTGAATATTTAAAATAAGAATATGCGGAAATAATTTCTAATTTATTAATAAATTTTTAATTCTAAAATGTGAAGCTCTTACATGGCTGTTACAACACAACCAAATATATAAAGCTTTCAATGGGGTAACACAAGACTTTGGTTTTCTTTTCCTTCTTTTTTTTTCAATTTAAATCGTATTCAAAGATTCAATGCAAGACTATCAATATGATCACCTTAGAACGCATCACAATCATTTCTCGCACATTCGTTCATTGGATTAAAAATAAATTTCCAATGAATTACAAAAAAAAAAAAGATTAATTATTTTCCATACTCCGATATTTGATATTTTTATACCAAAAAAAAAAAAAAAAACCACGAGAGAAACTCGGAAAAAGAAAAAAAATCCATCACTACTTTTTCTACAAAAAATCTAATCTACATCACAAAAAAAAAAAAAATTTTTTTAATTACGTCAATCCATTCACTCGTACCTGTTTTTTTTTCTTTTCTTAATGCGATAGATGTCGACGAAACCAAAGCGCAATTCAATAAATACGATCATTATATTAGACATGATTTGTTATAATAATATAATAATATAATAATATTAATAATAATAATAATAATAATAATAACAATAATCAAATAATAAAATAGTAGTAATAGTAGTAGGAGTAGTAGTTATTTGTATCATGACAACAGAGAAGAATAATTGGCGTTGCGTCAATGCGCAAAGTGCGGCATAAATTAGAAAACAAAATTACATATTAAAATTCAATTATCATACTTTCAGTTTTTCATTTTTTTAGCTATTCATTCATTCAGTCTTATTTGAAATCTGTACTTTTTTGTACAGAAAGGCGATATTCTTAAAAAAAATTTCCCGATATTGTTTGTAAAAATTCAAAAATTCTTTAAAAGTTTTTTTTTAATAAATTATTTTTATAAATTGAAAAATTCTTTTATAACTTAAAAAAAGAGTCGAAAATTCTCTGATATATTCTCGATATCAAATAAAAAATATATTTTTCAAATTATTCTTTTTATAATAATTTTTTTTTTTAATTAAAAAATTTTTAATTAAAAAAAAAAAAAAACAGCTTTAGACACATTTTATTATCGAACATTATTCAATTCCTTTTAATGTGATTGCTTTATTACAATGAATAACAATAATACTGCCAGGTTCAAAAAGAAATTTGAAAATCAGCCTAAAATATAAATGCTAAGAAATTATTAAACTAATTTATTTCATTTACAGTATAAAAAATATTTTACAACACGCACAAGGAAATTTAATATATATTCCCCACACAAAATTCTATATTTGGACCTCTTAAGTCGTTTTGTTTTTTTTTTTTAAATATTAATCTTTGGTCCTGCATTATATTGAAAAGAAATAAAAAATAATTAAATAATCGTTTTTTTACAATATTTAAAAAAAATTCCCTACAGATTAAACTTTTTTGAGATTCTAGAAATTCTTACCAAAAAAAATTTAACAGATCCATCACGACAAATGCTGTAATAATTTTTCAAAATTTAAAAAAATATTTTTCTTTACAAATAAAATTATTTTCAGAAATATTGAATTGAAAAAGCAATTTTTTTTTTTTTTTTTTATAAAGCCGAAATTAATTTTTTGTAATCTTTTATCCTGGCAGCATTATAGTTGATTTCAATATTTATATGGAAGAGAGAAAAAAAATATTTATTGTCTTATAGAATATCTATTTTTTTTTTTTTACAGACACTTTACCGCAATTCTTGTAAGCTAATGAACGAGCCTTTAAAAAAATGTACGATTATTTACTGCGCACATGGTAAACGGAAATTTTCGTCCGCACGGAAGTTACTTTGGTAATGACTAGGTCTTATTAAACGCTATACAATGTACTACGTACTCATGAACGTCCACGTTGCTTTTTTTTCAACTATTATGGCGCATTTATTAATTCGTGGAATCTATCGTATTTTGTAAAATTAATTGTAATTAAGGGATTATTATGGCTTTGTCTCAAGGTGATTCTAAAAAAAAAAATTTTCTTTTGGCCACACTTAAATAAAAAAATTTCCAGAAAATATTTTTTTACACTCATTTTTTTTTTTTTTTTTTGACTATAGAGCACTCAATAAAAGTACTGTAAATATAAAATGTAATTAATTATTAAATAAAAATTATTATTTACAAAAACATGTATCTCTAACCTTTGTTTAAAACCGATGTATCATTTCGGACGATTATCTTCTGAAAAGCACTCGCGATTTAAAAAATGTATCACTCCCGAAATTGAAAATAAATAAATACTTTTTTCTAAAAAAATATCGAGCACTCTAATCATTTTTTTTCAAATATGAAAATTCAAAATAAAAACGAATGAAAAAAAGTAAAAAGCGTTAGAAAATTTTAGATTCACATTAATTGAATGTTAACAGAAGACACGAATTGTAACTGATTTAATTATCTTTGTGATTTCCCCCATTTTCTATTGTTGTGACCTTAAGGGTAGCGCGCCTTTGTATTTCAATGTAAACATATACAGTTCGGGGTGCAGGTATATAAATATAATATCAAAATATCTTCGACTCATTTCAAATACTTTGGAAATTATAATAAATTCAATAATAAATTTAAATATTATTTAATATATAAATTATTCGCTTATTTTTCTTCGAATCAATTGAAAAGAAATTCTATTTAGTCTTTAAATCTAAATTTTAAAACAATTTTTTAAAATAATTAATTACATTTTATATTTAAATTGTTTTTAAAGAATCATCATTCTTAAGGGCATGTCAAAATCGCAATAATTTTTTGTTTTTACATAAAAGCTTATCACAACTTTGACATAATCTTGATAAAATAAATACATATATTTTACAAAATTTTTCAAATTGTTTTTTTTAGAATTTACAATTTTAGAATAAAAAAAAAATTTTTTGCAAAGTAGAATAATAATTTTAATTTAGATGAAAATATAATTTGAAATATTCACCAATTTTTTGTAAAAAAAATTGCTTCTAAAGCACCGTGAAAGGGAAATTAAAAAAGAAAATAGATTTTTTTTAGAATCACCTGAAAATCTAATTCTTAAGCATTCTCTCTATCTCTCTCGCAAATTAGAATTGAATGCGATAATTAGGTCGTGGTATTGACCTGGCCTTTGTCGGTGGAAGTGATGAAGTTGATGCCTCACTACTGGCAGTACCACCGGAATCTCGTCCACTTTTACTGCTGACAGTACTCCCTGTACTTTGACCTCTGATGAAACCCTGTTTTCTCAATGACACTTTACCATCACCATCGCTTAATCTACCATATTCGCCAATTCGTCGCGATGGTGGTGGTATCAATGAACGTCCATGTTGTTCACGATGTTTTACCTCAAGTAAAATTTGTTTTTTTTTATCAATTTCACCCAATCTTTCATATTCACAAACTGTTGATGATGAACCTTTTTTCAATGATGATGATGATGATGATGAACTTTGACCAAAAGGTTCACATTTCTTTCGACGTTGTGCAAATTTACCATAATCAATTGTTGTTGTTTTAATTCCATTATCAATCACTGGTCCAGGATCAGATTTTTTTCTTGCCTCCGAATCACTGAGACGACAATAACGTGAATTTGTTGATTTTAATGAACGTGGTGGACGTGGAAGTGAACTTGGTGGTAGACTACCGGCTCTTCTTGGTTCACCTTCTTGCATTCGTTGACGTTGTGAACTTCGTCCTTGTTTTTCAAGAAGCATCATCTCCTCGGGTTTCTCCACTGATAATCTCGATACTGTACCTTTAAAACGTGACGATGTTGTTGTTGCAAATTCCATAAGGCTGCCAGTTGTCTCGCCATTTGAATCGTCCAATAAACGACTTTTACTTGATGCTGTACTCGAGCTTACTGCACTATTTACACTCGCCAATAATGGCTTGGGTATTTTTCCTTTTCGCGACGCAGTGCCTGGATTAGAGAATCCTGGAAAACAGCAAAGTGCCCGCTGAAAAAAAAGAAGAATACCATCGCGTTGGAGAAGGAGACACCGGGAACCTGGAATAAGGGTTAGTGCTCGCCACAACAGCGCATGCGCACTCTGGAAAAAGTTTGTTTTTTGCTTTTTTTTGGTACATAGGAAACAACAATGGTCCAGATTCATAAAAAAAGTGCCTTTTTTCCAAAATTAGCTGAATTACTTTAATATCAAAAATTAATATTTAGTTTTTTTGTTGCAATGAAAAATTTCGATTGAAAATTTTTTTTTTAATTAAAAAAAAAAAACACATCCGGACCATATTGTTCAGGGAAAAAGGAAATTAGTTGGAACACTCCAAAAAGAAAAAAAAATTGTTTTTTGTTTGTTTGTTAAAAAACGCCAAAACCGTTATGTAAACTCCGTTACTGGTTATATTTTTCATCAAACCATGAACATAACATGAATCAATCACTTAATTATTATGAAACTTTTGATTTTAATCGTTATTACAATCGCGTTCAAAAAATTAAATTTTTTTTTGTCGATAACATTTTAAAAATAACACTATCAATTTTTTTTTGAAAAGTTAATTTTTTTGAATTTGACTTTTAATGAAAAGAATAAAAAAAAAACTACCACACGAGTATTTACGATATTTTGTTTCATTAACAGAATATCGTAATATTTCACAATAACAAGAGCAGGTAGTTAAATATACGGTTTTTTTTTTAAAATACTTTTTTTCAATTTTGTTTACGAAAAAGCTACATGCCCTTGAGTGAAGATTTTCAATGCTCTAAATGCTTCAAACTTAACACAAAACACAATGAATACCTTTTTGTAGTGTGTGTTCTGTAAATTTTTTCGTGATCAGCTTCTGCTACAATTTTTTTTTTTTTAAACGATGTATTTTTTATATTTATCCGAATTTGAACTTTTTTTTTTTTTACTAATTTAAAGAGAGGAAAATATTAGAAAATAAAATGATTTTTTTTTTGCGATGACTGGGAAGAGATTTGATGTGAATCGAGACACGATTATACAGAGCACTACACTGTGGAGATTCTGCCTACCTTGCTAAGGAGTTGAGAGTCCAGCTCCTTCAATTGATCGTCAAGGCTCTTATTTGTTTGTTCAAAACTTCCCTGCTTTCTGTATTTATAGCTGTCGGACACACCATAAGATCCCGTGCTTCCGTAACCACTTCCACCGCCCAATACGCTGCTCACTAAAAATAATAAAAAGTAATTAGAATTTAAAAATTATTTTGATAAGAATTTTCTTTCAATATAACTTACCAAGTTCGGGAGTACTCGTCAATACCGTATGATGATGATCTGCCGAAGTACTGGAATGAGATGAATGTGCAGCCGGATAACTACCAACACCACTACTGCAACTACTATCCTTATCATAGGTATGTTTCTGAAGAACGCGTATCATTGCGTCCCTTTCTGCCAATTTCGATTCTAGATCTTTCATTCTAAAATGAAAAAAAAAATAATTAATGTTTCCAAATTGAATAAAAAAAAAATAATAATTAAAAAATAATAATTCTTTTAAATACCTAGATTCTAAATCGGCGAGCTTCTTTTGTGCGGCATGAACTTCGTCCATGTGACGCATTTTTTCCGAACGTGCCTCCGCTATCAATTTCTCAGCGTCTTGACTCGTTTTCTCCAATGCAGCAATTTTCGCATCTCTAACAAAAAATAGAAAAAAAATTATTTCCCCCTTTCAACTATTTTTACAATTAAAAATAAAATTGATATCAAAAATCCTGAAAAAAAACTTACTTTGGAAGACTAGCAGCGTCAATAGCGGCTTGTCGCAAAGCGCTTTCCTCAAGATAGCGTTGCTCCCATTTAGTGACATCCCCCTCGAGTGACATAATTTTTTCATCTCTCTCTCTCAGTCTTCGTTTTAAATCAGCAATTGTTTCACCATTCGCCGAATGTTCATTTCCATTGACACCACCATTTCCACCTTCTCGTAATTCTCTTTCCAATTGTCCTCTCAATTGTCTTTCAGTTTCTTCGCGTCTATCGCTCGATGCTTGAAGGGAAGACAAGGCACGTTGCAATTGTGCAACACGTTCCACGTAAACTTGTTTTTTACGCGACTGTCAAATTAGAAATGAAAAAGAAAAGATCAACATTTCAATTTATTTTTCTTATAAACAAATTTTTTTTTTACCTCTTCCTCAAGACGCACAACATTTCCCTGCGCATTGGTGAGAGCAGTGTCCAATATATCAATATGCGTACGTTGCTCTTGTAGAGTCGCTCGTTGTGCAGCGAGTTCAATTTCCTGTCGTTCTTTTGCCGCCGCGAGTTCCTTATCTAAAAGAAAAAAAGAATATAATAAAAAGAAAAACAAAAATTTCAAAAAAACATACTTTGTGTGATAAGTTGACCGATGAATAATTCTCGTTGTGTTAATTCTTTACGCATTGATTCAACAATTGGTGGACTGTCAGTTCTCGATGATAAGAGATCAATTTGATCTCTCAAGGCACGATTTAATTCTGTCAATCTTCGACAATCACTTTGTAGTCTTAGTCTCGCTGCTCTCTCAAGTTTCTCACGTCGTTCACATGATGCTGCTAAATCCTCATGCGCTCGATGTACCTTTGTAATTTCCTGTTCGAGCTTTTGTGATTTTGCTACTTTATTATAACAACGCTCAAGTTCCAATTTTAAGGCACTATTTTCTTGAATTACTATTTGTACCATTGCAGATGGCGGCCAAATTTCACCTGCCGCTGTCTCAATGTCTTCTCTCCCTTTTGTTTGAGGCCTACAATTTTTTTTTCGATTATTATAACTTAAAACACAATTAATAGTAAAAATATATAAATAAGAGAAACAAATTTAAAAAAAAAAGAATTAAGATTACATTTTTGTTATGAATTTGAAATTAAAAATAGAAAATGTCATTAAAACGATATTATCAGTAGATAATAAGTGACCGATAACTTTATTTGAAATTCTCAATAATTAGTATCGACATTCTTTTAAATGGGAGAATTAATTTTAAACTATCTTCATCTTCAAAAAAAAAAAAAAAATTATTTTCTATTATACAATTACCTGGGAGAAGTTGTTCGTGGATCATAATTATCAATGTCAACTTTTCCAATTCGTGACAAATCGGGCTGCGAACGAGAAAGAGTTAATTTTTCCGTAGGTCCAAGTAATCTATGTTTACTTTTTAAAGGTAACAATGTTGTGGTATAAGAAGAAGATGAAGGTCTATCTTCATAATCCGTTTGTTTTCCACGATCATTTTCTCTTATTCTCATATCTATACTATTGTCATTTCCCGACAATTTACCATAAGAGGGAACCTTCACTTCCTTTGCAAGATGTTTCAAAACCTATGAAACAATATTCAAGAATTTATTTCCTTTTCAATAAAAAGTAAAAATAAATAAAAATACAGGTAAAAAAAATTTAATGGAAAAAAAAATAATGATAATTATTAAAGAGCCATAACAAGTTTTTCATGATAATAAAGATAAAATACCTGCGATTGACTGAGATAATCGTCTGGGATATCGGTAATTTCTTGACAGCCACCATTTCCCGATTGCTCATAAAGATGATCGTCATGTGGTAAACTTGATAATGATTGCATTGTAGGGCTATTAGAATGCCCTTTTCCACCACCTTCACAATATAAATACCCCATATCGCCATGGTCTCTCACGAGACCTGACAACCTTTAAAAATAGAAAAAAAAAACATTTTCAATTAAAAATTCACAATTTATTCTTAATTATATTGATTTAAAAATTCAACTAAATATTCAAAAAAATTTCATTATTATTTTGAAAAAAAATATTACCTTCCCGAAGGTGCCCAAGAAGATTCTTCATTTGCATTATGAATAATAAGTGTATTATACGAGCTGGTCGAAACATCTAAACTGCTTCTATTAGAACCAACACTCGTTCGATTACTTAAATTATCCTTTAAACTGTTGCGATTCGATCCATTGATACTGTCCTTAAGACTATTGCGATTTGAACCATTTAAACTCTCCTTCAAACTATTTCGATTTGATCCATTTAAACTATCCTTTAAACTATTTCTGTTCAAGAGATTACCCTGTGTAAAACGAATATATTGTTTGAAATAAACTTATGTAAGAGTTTTGTTTTCCTAAACAAAGAAATAGAGATAAAAGAAAAAAAAAGATTACCAAACACAAAAAATTGTCCTTCCTATTCATATAACGAAATTTACGTTACATAAATAGATAATTAAAAAGAAAAAAGTTATGTAATTTAAAATATTAAAAAAAACTTACTTGGATATTTGGTATGTTTTCCTTGTGACTTGAAGATCTAGAGGGACTTTGCTGTTGATTCTCTTGACCTTGTGGCTCCTGACGAGCTGTGTGTCTTATCACATAGCGCTCCTCGTTACTTAAATTTTCGTTTGATGTTGAAACGTCGGTATCACTACCACTCAAGCTTTTAGGTAAACCACCTGTTAAATTGCAAAAAAAAAACAATTGTTAGTTGAAAAACTATTTTTACATTATTATAATCGCAATTAGAAAATAGTAATTTTTGGTTTTCAATGATAATTGTCACAAGAATTAATTATTTTTTTTTTTAAACTTACCTTGAGTTGATAGTTGCTTTCTTTGTATGTTACTATTAGAAAAAGGCAGAAACCGACTCGTTTGTTGAAGGGAACTCATGTCGTTAAACATTCATTTATGTTAAATGTTTTTTGTCTGACCTACAAATTAAAGAATATTGAACAAAATTTAATTAGAATTTAATTCATTTACTATTCAAGGAATTTAAATTGTTTCTGGTATTTTTCATTAAGATCACCCTAAAAGATAAAAATTGAGATTTTGAAAATTAAATTTTTTTTCTAAAAAAAAAAAAATTCTATTTTTAGATTAACATTACATAATAAGAGTATTGAAATTAAAAACAAAGTATTTAAACGTATTTGTTGTCGAATGAAGCAAAAAAAAAAGTTTTTGTAGTTTAAAACTTCGAAAGCAGATGTTTTATCAATTTTAATCGTTTCAAAACATATTTTACCATATATTAGATAAAATATACAACTCACAAGATCAAAGGCCGTAAAACCAATAAACATACAACAACAAAAAAAAAGCGCTAACCTCCATTCTATTTAATCTAAAGATAGTTCATTGAAAGAATCTCAATAATCATATTATGCAAAACATGATTATTGTATCAATTAGTTAATTTCGTTTTTTTTCTGATAAATTACATTTACGCTAAATGAAAAAATTCGATTACACAATTAAATTATACAATAAATTTTATAAAAAAAAAAATAAATGAAAAATGTTATAATTTGCTTGTGTAATAAATGTTAATTTGTCATTTTTCTCTCGATTGACCAATAAAATTTTGCAATGCAAATATCTTAAAATTATTTTCAATTTTGTCACTGTATTTATTGTTTACAATAAAAAATTTGTTATTAAATACAAAAGTATTTTACTGTTTATTATTAATAAATTATAAATAAGCAAATAAAAAGTCAATTCTTTACAAGATCTCTTTAAATGATTTAACAATTTATAAATTTTATTTACTTTCAAAAAAAAAAATGAAAAAAACCAAAGAATTTTAATATAAAAAATAATATATTTGTTTTTGACAAGAATCGGAGCAATTTATATATAAAATAATTTAAAAATAATATTAATTGTCATCTAAACCGATATCACGTAAAATACTCAACCTTGGAGTGAACTCCATTCTGAAACGGATGAAATGGAAGTGATGAACTGGAAGACAGAGGCAGCTGCAGATTCCAAATAAAAAACCACATAACGAAAAGAATTAAAACTTGTGGGAAAAATTGAAAATGTGTATTTAAGAAGCAAAAAGAAAATTATTTAAAAAAAAAAAAAAACAAAAGAAATTAACGAATAACTCGTGTTGAACGCGCCCACTGACAAGGCACACAGAGCGCTGACAGAGGTGTCAACACTCAGGAATGTTTGATAATATCAAAAAAGATATAAAAGATTTGATTATTATGAAGCATCGCACAAATCATTAAACTCGCCAGTATCTCATTGACAATTGCATTTGTCATTATAGCAAAAGTGTAATTCGCGAAAATTATAACTGCGGATAATGGCATGCATTTTTTTTTCTTTCTCTCTCTTTCTCTTTCTATCTCTATCTCTTTCTATCAAAAAGTTCTTTGGAGCTCCCCAGAGAGAACTACACAAATAAACAAAAGGACATATCACCCAAATGCATCTGCCAAAGCTTCTTGTAATTGCATATGAAATTAAAAGAAAAAATTAAATTCTAATTATATTTAAAGTATTGTTACACAATTTACTCACACAATACGAGTTATTTATCCAAAACAGCCTTTAGAGAATCGCAATTATTTTCAATATAAATTGGTACACTTTACTCCTCCGCGCACGAGAAATAAAAATTTATAGTTGTCAAATTCCTCGTTAGTGGCGCCACAATTGAAAGGGGGCACTCTCACCATCTTCTTTTTTTTTTTTTTTTTTTTCACCTTCGAATTCAAGTGATGACGCACGTGTGGGAGTAAAAAGGTGGAAAAATCGAGGCTTTCAGGGATTCTTGTGTGATTGTAAGTGGGTGACGCAAGAATATTTAATTCGTGTTTTTTTTCTGATGATTTCAATAAGTAATTAATTGTAATTTATTATTGTTGAATGATATGATTTTTTAACGCGTTTAAATCATTTTTAAGGGACTAACCAAGGTGCGAATTTCATTTTAATTTCAATGTATTCAATGTTGGTAAAAAAAAAGAATTTTAATTGATGATAAATGGCAATTTTCCCGTAAAATGAATTTAAAATTAATAATTTATTTTTAAACGAAAAATTGTATTCTTATTTTCCATTTTGATGTTTCATTCAAAATAATTATTTTTATTTTTTAATTTATTTAACTAATGGTATTTCTGATTTTAAATTCTAAAAACATTTTCGCGCCATCGATTTTTATTGGTTGATATAAAATTAATGTTTGGAAATTGCAAAAAAAAAAAAAAAAAAAAACTTGTTCTCAATTAGTGGATAAATTACAAGTATGTTTAATGACAGAACCACTGGGCTAACCAAAAAGAAACAAATATTGTCCCTAAAAATTGTAGTATTTTTTTTTTATTGCTAAAAATAGAAGAAACAAGTTATATTATAAATAAATAGTTAGAATTTTCTATTCCATGATGCAGATGTCAAAGGTCATAATGAATTGTCATAAAACTCGTTTTCTCCATCGGATCATTAATTTGCCATTGTTTTTAAAATCTGCACCATCGTTAAGAATTTTTCATTCACAAATTTTAAGGCAACATCATTTTGCAAATTCTCTTCACGGTACATATAGATATATATATATATATATATTTATATATGTAAATTAGCATTCGTCAATTAAATTTCATTCTTTCTTTTTTTTTAAGGTGTAAATAAATCATTTTCAAGTACAAGTGTTTTGAAATCAGAAATGGCGAATTGTGGTGGAGGTGATGTTAATGATTTTGATATGAATTATGAACAACTATTGAAAGCACAAGATAATTGTGATATTTTGATTATTGATGTTCGTGAACATGCGGAAATTAATAAAACCGGAGCATTGCCTGGTAGCATTCACATTCCAAGTATGATAAAAATTACTAAATATATTTATTTAAAAAATTTTTTAAAGAAGGTAGAAAAAAATTATTCATATTTGAAAAATTTTAGTGTGCGATGTTGCTGATGAATTGACAAAATTAACAAGTGATAAATTTTGCGAGAAATATAATAGAGATTTACCCACAAAGGAAACAAAATTAGTTTTCTCATGTATGTCAGGAAAAAGAAGTGGCGTAGTTCAAGATCGAATGAAAAAATTGGGTTATACAAAGTATGTATCTTAATTCTAAAAAAACAATTACTTATATTAAATTTGCAATACATTTTTAAATTTTACTTTCAGTGTTTATAATTATAAAGGGGGTTGGAGTGAATGGGAGCAAAAACAAAAGTGTTAGAAAAGAAGAAGTTGCGAATGAAGTAAATCAAAAAAAAAAAAAAAAAAATAACTCATATTGTCATTTTGCATTTGTAAAAGTATAATAAAAAAATTTTACTACCAAAAAAAACTTAGAAACAGGACTTAATTTATTTTAAATTAAATCTATTAAAATTCATAACTTACAATTAGTTATAAATACACAATATGGACAAATTATTTTTGTATTATGTACAAAAGGAATCCTAAAGAAAAAAATCTTAAATGATATTTACAGACAATTTTTTTTTCTCTTTCTAAATCTTATTTTTTCGTCTGATCTTGTGCTAATTTTTGTCTCACCATTTCACGGAATTGACCGAGAATCAAATTCTCTCTTTTTTGTCTTTCCTCTTTACTAAACATAGCAAGAGCTCTCTTTTCATCGGCTGAATAAATTTGATTCTCCTTTCTTATACGCACAGCCTCCATTCGTCGATGTCTAAAAAAAGAAGAAAATAAATTTATAAATCTCTTCGAATTTTATAAAAAAAAAAAAAAAAAAAATGTTTTCGTATTTAAAAATTAATGTAAAATACCTGCTACCGCTCATAACATAACCAACTGATTCATATGAAGCAATCTCATCGGAAGTAAGACCAATTTCTCCTCTTCGTGGAATTCTTTTACCCTCAGCAACATATGCTGCCATCGCTGCACCTTCACCAGGTAAAAGTGCTTTACCAAATTCTTTAGCTGATAATGTAATCTGTTGCTTTTGTAATGGACCAATAATTTCCTCGGCACTCTCATCGGAACTTGAATTATTTCTAACTTTAGTCTTTGATTTTTTCGTTGATGTTGATTCTTCAGCCCATTCTTCATCTGAACTTTCCTCTGATGATGAATCGGAATATTTTTTCTTCTTTTTCTTTTTATTCTTCTTCTCCTTCTTCATTTTCTTCTCTTTCTTATGCTTCTTACTTTTCTAAAATAACATTTAAAGTTTTAATTTTTTTATATATCTATTTAAAAATTAATAGAAAAATTGTTTTAGAAATTGAAAAACCAGACATTCATATTGAAAATTATTTTTTCTAATAAAAGCATAAAATTTTTTACCTTCTTTTTCTCTTTTTTCTTTCTCTTTCGATCATTAGACACTGATTCATCTACTTTCTTGTGTAAAACTTCTTCTTCATCTTCAGAACTGAAAAGTTTGATTAGAAAACATGAAAAAAAATATATAAATGAAAAATCAATAAAAATAAATTGAAAACAAAATAATGTAAGTTAATACAAATTTTTTATTGTTAATAAATTCGACAAAATCTAACTTACTCTTCGATTCTTGTTGGCGATTTCCCCCAAACTCCATCAACTCCACGTAATCCAATTTCTTCTCTAAGTTTCAATCTTCTAGTATCATCCATTTTTTAAAATTAATTTTAATTTGCAAACATTCAATAATACTTTAAACTCTAAAAATTGACAATCTTGACGTCAATCCAACTCAACGTCAACAACTCAGAACACTACAAACATGCCACTGAACATAACCTCTTAATCTGTCACTTTTATATTGCGCAAGCCTCAAGATTATTCCAGCGCATATTTAATTTAAACATCTTTTTAACTAAGAAAAAAATAATTATTTATTTCAATTCAATCACTAATAATTTTATATTAATCACCAATATAATAGTTATTTTACTTTTATAAATAAAATGAACCTAAATTTTTATAAATATGCGCGGGAAAAAAGAAACCAATGAAAAGCATTTATCTTAAGGCATGCGCAATATGAAAGTTAAGTTTTGAAAAAAAATTTAATCATTATTTTAGTATCAATTTTAAAGTCAAATAGCAAAAATAAAATGAAATTATTAATTAATAAGAATAATTTAAATTCTTGATAATTTATCATAAATTAAACAACCAAAATAATATGTTGAATAAATTATTTCTAAAATTTTGAAATATATTAAATAAAGTTAACGGTTATTTAATTAACAATTATTTATATTCTAATTACAAATATTAAAAAAGAGATAAAAATTATTTTGAAGTTATATTAAATATTTCTAGATTAATTACTTGATCATAATAAAATACAGAATAAAACAATTAATTCAATATACTGAATTTTATTACAAAACGTCTGTAATTAGGCTACAACATGTAATATAATAATTGCGTTTGGTCTAGACCCTTACTGAAACAAAAAAAAATATTTTGTAGTCTTTTTTTTAAAAAAAAAAATGTTTTTCTCTCCCCTCATAATTTTTTTCTGCGTGCGCACCTGATTTATTTTTATTATAAACAAATTTTTACATGCAGACATTTTAAAATAGAATTAATTTTTCCATATAATGAAATTATTACTAAAACATTAAATAACATATTAGATAAATAAAAATTATTTAATATTTATGAAATTCAACGTTTGTTTTCAATTAAAAACCGACTTATTAACAAAAGAAAAAAGTTACAAATTAATTTAATATAGAAAATTAATATAAAAAAAATTAAATAAAAGATCAACAATTTAACATTTATGAAAAAATGGACAAAATTTGAATCGACATATTATATAAATTAATAAATGATTAGAAACGGACGCAGAAAAAAAATTATTTAAATAATATGATAATTATAATAATATTATATCGAAAATTTGTCGTAAAAAGGTTAAGAAAAAAAATGAATAAAAATTATCCTTTAGTAAACTTCGATTACATTGTTTTATGTTCAAAATTGAAATGTCACTTTTGTAAACATTGAGTTGTCGTGCCATGAATAACGTTCGAAGTAAAGGAAACTATCCCAAGCTACTAATCCTAAGATAATGTAATATCTTTCGTTTATTCATATAATTTCTATTTATATTAGGTATGCATTTACTCGTGATAACTAAACAGTTTTTTTTTCTGTTACGCATCACCACTAGGCTTGCAGACGTCGAAGATCAAGAGATTGCATCTTTATAAAAAAGAAAAACATTTTCTCAATTTCAGTTATTTATTTTTTTTTTAAATTTAAATTCTTTCAAATTTAAAACATCTTATGTTAGTATCAATAGAAAACAAAAAAAAATGTAAATACAAAAAATTTTCAAATAAATTTTTGACATTTTTTTTTTCTATTTAATATTTTCTGTCATAAAAAATTTATTTTACATAAAAAATTGTGAATTCTTTATATAGAAAATAAATTTTCCCAACTGAAATAACCATTATTAAATAATAGAAAAAAAAATCCTTATTTGACGCCAATTTTTACAATTTCCACCATTTTATTTTTTATAAATGGAATTATACTGTACAGATGAAAATATTTTGAAAAAAATTAAATTAATCAATTAACTGAAATTGAGAAAATAATTATTCGAAAAATTTACATTGAAAATTAGAGAAAAAGAAATAAAATCAAAATAAGTTTTCTTTTTTATCGATTTTACTTCTTTCTTTGTGACAAATAGAAAAAAATTCAATGTAAATTTATTTTTTAAAAAAAAAAAACGTTGCTCACCCTATAAATTGATCACTTATTGTTAAATAAATTTTTATCGAAGAATATAATAATGAAATTTACAAAGAAAAAAAAGTTAATTAACAATCGTGGAAACTGCCTCGAAAATTATTTTTTTTTCAATATTTATAATTAACAAAAAAAAAAAAACATCCAGAGACAGTATCGAAAATTTTTTCGAATCAAATTTTTAAAAAATGTACAGTTTTACACATATTATTAATTTAGAATTAATAATGAATAGAATTTGAATATAAAACGAGACAAAAATTCCTCGATTATTAGAAAACTTTTGATATAATTTGCTATCGCCCAAAAAAAGAGAGTACACATATAATATAAAAATAAACATTCTCGTAAGCAAATGAAAAATTCTGTTATTGCACATCGAAGAAACTCGAGGACAAAAAATAAAAATGTCGATTTTGTCAATATTTAATTTCAGCAGCCTCGTGCTCTTCGACTCATTCCAGTAAGCTTACTGGTATTTTTTTTCATTTCATTTTAATCATAATAATAATAATAATCGTAATAATTATAATAATAATGATAATAATCATTATCAAGTAAAATTTGTAAAATACAATATGCTGCCTATTATAAATTCTAAATCTTTTTTTCTTTATAAATAATTATAGTAGTAGTCTTCACACCTTTTATTTTATTTTTTTTTTTTGTTAATTTATTATAATCGGATGACGTTCCTTTCCACTTTTTTTTTTCTTTTGTTTCTTTTAATTTAAATATTACATTTGTGATCTGCTTGACTGTGTATATAATACATATACAATATAATAATCTAAAGGATTCGTATTATTTACATATGTACAAGTAACAACGGCTTTTATTAATGATTTACCCGTTCGTTAAAAAGAAAAAAAAATTAAAAAAAAACAACTTTGATGTAGAGGCCATTGGGACTCGATTACAAAAAAAAATGATAATAATAATAATAAAACACCTGTTTTTTAAAAGTCAATTATCATTTTCTTTTTTTTTCAAAACATATGTTTTTTTTCTACCTGAGCTGAAAAATCCGTGTAAAGGAGCGCATCAGATCTATCGTCAATTTCTCATTTCCAGCTCTTTGTTTTTTTTTTCTTACTTTCTGTTATAAAAGTCATCGTTTTTATATATATTAAAAAAAAAATGCTAGAAAAAATTTTTACTGATAAATAATCAACAAGAAACGTATTGATAAATTTTTCCAGTGTTTCTTATTTTAATATAATCTTAATGATTTTTATAAATTCATAAGCACCTTTTTTTCATAAATAATCAATATGAATCCTATTCATTATTTATCAATTTTTTCTGGATTATTTCTTTTTCTTGATTCATTATTAGTTTTTTTTTCCAATTATTTACCATTTAGTTTTGATTTATTTATCAATATCTCTTTACCAATTTTTATTTATAATAATTTTACTGATCTTTTATCAATCTTATTGCTGATTAATGTAGATCGAAAAAATTTTTTTCAGTAAATAATATTTATTTTGATAAATATATATATTTATATATTTTTTTTGTAAATAATCTATACCTTGATAAATAATTCATTTTAAATAATCAATAATTGATTATAAAGGACAATTCTTATTTGATAATTGGCAGCGAAATTAGTTCAAAATAATTTTTCCTTTATCGATTTTTTGAGACTGGAATCAGAGAGAAAGGCGTCGTCGTCGTCGTCGTCGTTACAATTGTCCTAATATGTATGCCCAAATTATCGATTTGACAATAAAAATTTTTCTTTCACCTCGTTTCATCACAAACATACACAATATTACATGCATACACACACACACACAAAAAAACAAAAAAAAAAAAAACTAGAAGTTTGTTTTTATTATAAAAGCGCGCACATATGGGGAAGGGTGAGGGGGGAACTACACATCACACATCGAGTCTGAAAAAAAATCCTCCGACTCTTTTTTTTCAATATGAAAGTAGAAAGAATTATTTTTTTTTTTCTGGTATACAAAGATGAAAAGAAAATTCCCTTTGCTAAAAAACAATTTCCCCTTTAATCACTAGATAAATGGGGATTTAATGTTAGCCAAGATCTTGCTACGATTCAAGATCATCTTCTCGTTGACTACTAAAGTATGAAACGAGACCGCCAAATTCACCGGTACCTTCCTCATCATTTGGATGTTGTTGGGGATGAGATGGTTGTTGTTGCTGTTGTGATGGTGGTGGTTGTTGCTGTTGTGGTTGAGGGGGAGGAGGAGCCGTTGATGGTTGATTATCGGCGGATGTTGAGAAATGTTCAGCGGGATATGGTGAGCCTTGATAGGCAGCAGCATCGTCAGCGGTTGTCATTGGTGGTGGTGGTGGATAGGCACCGTAATGATAATTAGGCGGTGGTGGTGGATGATAAGGTGAAAAATTACCTGGTGGACGACTTGGCGGCGGCGATGGTTGTTGAAGTGAATGACTACCTGGCGATGCGCCAGCAAACGGTGGCATTTGATGTCTTAGTGGACTATCGGGAAATCTTGACATTGGTGGTCCACGTACATAAGGCGGTGGTGGCGGTGTTGGATCACCTTTTGCGAGAGGACTTCCCGCTGTTGGTGGAATCATACCTGGCACATGACCAAGTGGTGAGCTACGATCGCGATTATTTATTGATATTGGACCGCCACCCGATGGCGATGGATCCATTGGATGATGTGACGAGTGATACATTTGAGGGCCAGGACCACGTAATCTCATTGGTGGTGTTCCCGAGCGAACGGCGGCAAAATGAGGTGGCATCGCCGATTGTTGCTGACGATATGGTGATGGAATTCGTCCACGTGGTTGCATGTCATAACCAGGACGAGGACCGCCAATAATTTGGGCAGCTGGATTTGGTCCTCCAAAATATTTATGTCCCATTGCTGTTGCCGCTGCTGTAAATGATTGCGGACTACCGGGAACGGATTGTGATTGTAGCATTCTTGTAATTACGGAAGACTGCTGTGGATAGCCCTGAAAAGAATAATATAAAAATTAAATATTATAGAAAAATATATTTTTAGAAATTATTATTTTTTACCTGTGAGGAGTTGGAAGTTTGCGTTGAGGGTGATCCTTGAATATTGGAACCAGGCGCTGGAGGTGTCGATGGTGCAGAACCGGAAGTACTGCTACCCGGAGTTGGAAGAATATTTGGCATCTCATCATATTTGGATGATGGATTTGAATCGGTGCCCATGCCCATCATTCCACCGTCCATTGGATTTTTGGCATTTGCCTCTGCAGCGCGTGCAGCTTCTAGTGCAAGGGTCTTTTTACCTTTACCACGACCTCTTCGTTTTGGCTTTAAGGGCGAACCTTCGGGACTGAAAAGTTGTCCATCACCACCTGGCATCATGGACATGTGTCCTTCAACATCCGAACCCATCATTCCAGGCATGACTGTCATATTTGGTGTTGCGAGATTAGGTGACATTAAAATGGGAGATGACGTCATAGGGGGAGGAATTCCAGGTGTCATTAATGGCATTCCCGGCAGTGCAATATCAGTTGTTCCATCTCTTCTCATTTGTTCGGCGAGAATTTCCGCTTTACTTCGTCGTCCACGTTTTTTCTTCTTTGGAATATCACCATCGTCGGGAGCATTTTCACGTTCACGTTCAGCCGCCAATATTTCCAATGCTTTTAAACGTGCTTTTTCCATTTTTTTCGCTTCACGCTCTTCTTTTTTACGTTTTGCAATTTCAATTGCCGCCAATTCAAGTTGACGTTTACCATATTCCTCGTCTTCCATCATCATTTGTGTGAGTTGTTCATCATCAATATCGGCCAATTCACCAGCGCCAAGACCAGCTAGTGAACCCTCGCCAACTTCACCTGTCACTAAACTTGAACCAGAAATATTTGGATCGTGCATTGATACATTATCGACTTTCTCCATTGCCATTGGATTAGCCATTGCTTCAACATCAACGCCTTTCAACATTTCCTCATCGTCCATTAATGGATTCATTTCTAATTTTGATGCTCTTGGCTTATTTTTACTACCTGGTTTTGGTCCTGGCTTTTTTCTTGGCCTTGGAGTACCATCCTCATCCACTAATTTTCTCGTTGGACTTTTATTTTTTTTCAATTTCTTAATTTTTGGCGATTTCAATTTTACTTTCATTCCATCTTTCTTCGGCGAGTATGTGTCACCTAGAAAATAATATTGTTTATAGTATAAATTAATTTAAATATTATAAATAGTACTTTATTACTGAAATATATATTTTATTTATAATTTTTATTTCCTAATATTACCTGAATCGTTTTCAGCATCTTCATTAACTTCCTCATTGTCATTTACAACGAATTCATCTTCGCTCTCTTCTGTTTTTTTCAAAGCCTTCTTCAATTCCTTTAAAAAAAAGGGGGATATTTATATAGTACTTACATTAAAATGTACCACAATAATTGGAAATGGGAGTCGTGACGTCATAAAATAAATATGGCTGACAGAAGTATAGGTAACTTTTGTAACCAACGCAAAGGGAAGCAAATTTGTTTTTAAAATAAATTATAAAATCATTAAAATTAAAACCAACTTAATACAATTTTTTTTTTACTAATGTACAACAAAATTTAAATTTTTATAAGAGTCACAGAAATTATTAAACTGATATTATACCATCGATAAAAAGCACACAAATTACATGTATAATTTTAATTTTTAAGATTTTTGGATTTGATTCACAAACTTCTAACAATAAAAACTAAGAAATTAAAATTAATTTTATTTTAAAAATCTTGAAAAAAATTTTTTTTTTTGAAGAGTTTAAGTGAAAAGTGCAAACAGTCTTTCTTTACATCTTACATTATTTTATTAATCCTGTAATTTAAAAAAAATCAAAATCATTATTAATATAAAAATGTAAAATGCATAAAAAAATTAAATTTTCTTTTTTTCAATTTTAATAAAATGTATATACTATATATTCATAATGCATATCTATTTACAATGTCGTGCTTTTTAGGTTATGTTCAACTTATAATACACTGTAACAAATAAAATAGAGCTCTATGAACATAAAGAAAATTAAAATTCTATATTTTTGTGAAAACAATTTTTAATTTTTAAAATAAATATAAAATAAACAACATAAAATTTCTTTAGTTTTTTTTTCTTTAAAGAAACCACGAGTAAAGTTAGGACAAGCGTGTCTACTTTTTCATCTAAATATAAAGCAAAAAAATTTACTTTTCAATGAAAATTTTTTAAAAAACTATTCTTCTCCCTTATCTTTATCAATAAATGTACAAAAATTACCTGTATTTTTCTTTGAAATTTATAAAATTTAACTTTTTTTCCACACTTTTTAATGTTTTGTTTACTTTTTCTACTTACTCTCTGTTTAATATATATTTACACCACCAGATGTCGTGTCGCAGTTTACCCCCTCCCAATAGTTATTATAATAATATTTATTATAAAAAAAATTTAAAAATTCATACCTCTTCACTGTCAGATGCCATTGCTTCTTGATAATTAATTTTTCTTCCTCGGGTTCGTCGTCCAAGAACTTCGTCTTCACGCTCTTGTCGTTCATCAGGTAGTCCTCCATAAATAATCTATTAATAAAATATCAATAATTAGTTAAATGAATAAAGAAAAAGAAAAATAACTTTCTCTGTAATGAAATTTGTAAATTATTATTATTATTTGAAATTTAATCAATTATAAAATTTTATATTATTATATATTAATAAATATAAAAAAAAAATTTAATTTACCTTTCGCCGAATTTTTTTCTGCTTTGGAAAATGTTCCTTCTTTCGCTTTTTAGAATATTCTTCCAATAAAGGATGAATTGGAATTTTATCGAGTTCGTGAATTTTTTCTTCTTCCTCATCTTCATGTTCTTGATTTGAAATTGTAGTTTGTGGTGGAATTAATTCTTGTTGAACAATTGGTTGAGAAGAAATTCCAGCTTCTATGTTTGGTTCCGTTTCAATTTGTGCTTCTGGTTGAGGTTCAGGATGATGTTCCTCTTCATCATCGACTTCCTCTTCTTCTTCCTCCTCTTCCTCATCCTCATCTTCCTCCTCATTATCATTCTCATCCTCTTCTTCCTCTTCATCATCATTATCCTCTTCAACTGGAATATTTTCATTTTCCAATGGTTCCGTTGTGTCCATTGTTTCTGGATTTTCTCTCACTTCTCCAGTTGTTGTTATTGTTTCTTCCTCTTCTTGTTCTTCCTCTTCTTCTTCTTCCTCCTCCTCTTCTTCTCCTTCTTCATCTTCTTCCATTTGCGGTGAATTTTCCAACGCTGGTGTATTTTCAGCCAATGGAGTTTCTTCAGTTTGCAATTGATTTTCCGTTTGATTTACTTCAGGTGCTGGATGTGCGTCTTCTATTTCTTGTTCTTTATTTTCTACACTCTCGCTAATTGTTGCTCTAATTTGCTCGTCCTCTTCGTTATCACTTTGATTATCAGAATGCTCGATAATACGCCTTCTCTTCTTTTTCTTTTTCGATTTTGTTTTCATAATCCATCGTGGTTTCGATGGTATTGTTTTACTTCTAAAATTGAAAACATAGATTAATTTAAAAAAAAAAAAAATTCAATGACATTAAGTGACATATATTTTACCTCTTTTTTCTCTGTCTCCATGAATTGTCACTTTCCTCACTTTCGGATTCTTTGTCCCATCCTCGATTCTTCTTTCTTTTTGGACGATCGCTGTCATCGCTGTCATCGTTAACTGAAAAAAATAATTTTGTAAATAAAAGAAACTTTTTTTTTGAATTCTTACAAAACTTACTGAAATCTTCATCATAACGTGTGGTTCGAGCCCTGGTGGATCTTCTGACAGCTCTCTTGGCACCTTTTCTTCCTTTTCGTCTTGTAGAAGAGAACGATTCATCAGTTGAACTATTACGATCATCATCCTCCTCTTCGGAACTCGATCCCTTAAAGTCTTCATCACTGTAACGATCATCATCCTCGCTACTAACATCCAAACTATTAAGTTTCCTGTGCTTCTTTCTAGCCAATTGTTTTCTCACAACGATCTTCTTTTTCTCCTCTTCATCATCATCATCCTCCTCGTCATCATCATCCTTATCTTCCTTATATTCCTCATCGCTCTCCTTCTCCGATTTCTCCTCATTTTCATCCTCATCCTCCATTTGTTTCTTTAAAGCCTCAGCTTCAGCTTCTTCCTTTTCAGCATTCACAATTGTCGTGATATCTTTCCCTCGTCCTTGATTTCCAGCACCTTGTACAGCTTCAACTTCATCTTGAATCGCTGCATTAATCATATCATCATATTCATTAAATTTATAAGTATTAGCACATCTTCGCTCTCTGAGTTGATAAACTGGTTCACTTTCATCACTACTTGAATTATCGGAACTCGATTCTGAACTTGATGATGTTGATGACGATGATGATTCATCAGATCCTTGACTTGAACCTTTAGATCCATCTTCTTTTGCATCACCATCCTTTCTAATGACATTTTCAAGACTAATTCCAACATAGGCGAGACGTTTTTTCCTCAGCATTTCACTTTCAAATTTCTTTGATTGACTATCAAAATCCTTAAGTTTTTGTTGTAATTTCATTACCAATGATGTGTGCTGACATGGTGGACAGAACCAATCACCTTCGGGAATGATCATCAACGCTGGTCGAAGACAAGAGCAATGCCATCCCTTGTCACAACTATCACAAAGTAAAATCCATTCTGGATGATCGGCTTTTTCACATTTTTGACAAGCGTATTCATCATCAGCCTCTTCAACATCGCTCTGTGATTTTCTTGCCGTTCTTGCACGTCTCATTGGTTCGGCTTCTTCATCTTTCTCTAAATCACTTTCTGGTGAAAATTCATGATCACTTTTAAATTCCAATGATACGTCACTTTCAATTTCTTCTTCTTCTTCTTCAGCTTCATTCTCATCATCGCTACTCGAATCAGTTGAACTCTCCCATGGTTTTGATTCATTAAATTTTTTCTCTTTCCTTCTTCTCTTCTTTTTCTTCTTCTTTTTCACCTCCTTTTCAACTTCCTTGACAACAACAATTTCCTCATCACTCTCCTTATGCTTTTTTCTTTTCTTCTTGTCCGGTGAATCTTCGGGTTTTTTCGATTTAATCTCCTCCTCAATTCTTCTTTTATCGGCCTCTTCTTTTATTTTCAATTGTGCAATTCTTCTCGAAGCTCTCACGGGCATTTCTTCATTAGCTTGTCCTTCGGGCATATCTCTTCCGATCATCAAGCCAAGAACCATTTTTCGTTTCTTTCTCTTCTTTTTTGAATCGGGTGTTTCTGCTCCCGGGGTGTCAATTGTTTCATCTGGTTCGTGTGACTCCTCCGGTTCATGTGTCTCCTCCTCCTTTTCATGTGATTCTTCCTCCTCCTTTTCATGTGATTCTTCCACCTCCTTTTTATGTGATTCTTCCACCTCCTTTTTATGTGATTCTTCCACCTCTTGGGATTTTTGTTCTAGTGATTCGTCAAGTACCTCAGTTTCTTGATCTTCCGATTCAACTTCCGGTGTTTCTTCTTGACTTTGACCTTGTATTTTTGGTTTATTACGTCCACGGCAACTACCACCTCTTCTTTTACGTCCACGGGGTCTTCCTCGAGCTTTTTTCGACAATGAAATCTCATTTTCAATGACAACATCATCATCATTACTTGTCTCTTTACATTCTTCAGGAACAACAATCACTGGAACAACAATATTCTTTGCTGTCTCATCCTCGGAACTTATTGCAATCACACGACTATCCTCAACCGATTTTCTCAATTGCATATCAACACGTCTTCCACGTAATCTCATTCTCTTGCCAACTTGATTATTATCATCCTCAGCATTTTTAATATCGTCAAGATTAATATCAATTTCAGCCTTGCGACGTTTACGTGTTGGTTTTGGTAGCTCTATACTCTCTTCTTGACGACCAGTGAGTTCAGTAAATGATTTCACTCGAATACTCATTCGATGAATTGGTTCACTTTCTTTTGATGAATCCTCAATTATTGTTTTCGATGACTCATCATCAGCAAGGGGATCCAATTCCTCGGGAGGATTAAATGTTATATCCGAATCAAATGGCATTGAATCGTCTGAATCAATTATTATCGAATCATCCGGCTGTGATTTTGATTCACTAATTTCTGGTGTTTCAACAAGAGTCACAAGATTTTTCACTGTTTTCAAATCTTGTCTAACGCGAAGACTTCTAGTGACCCGGACATTTTCTGTTACTTTAGACTCTTCAGTTGTGTTGGATTCTTCAGCAATTTTAGAATCTTCAGCACTTTTTGAATCTTCGACAACTTTGGAATCTTCAGCACTTTTTGAATCTTCCACAATTTTGGAATCTTTAGCACTTTTTGAATCTTCCACAATTTTGGGTTCTACCACAATTTTGGAATCTTCCACAATTTTGGGATCTTCAGCAACTTTGGAATCTTCAGCACTTTTTGAATCTTCCACAATTTTGGGATCTTCAGCAACTTTGGAATCTTCCACAATTTTGGAATCTTCAGCACTTTTTGAATCTTCCACAATTTTGGGATCTTCAGAAACTTTGGAATCTTCCACAATTTTAGAATCTTCAGCACTTTTTGAATCTTCCACAATTTTGGGTTCTACCACAATTTTGGAATCTTGCACAATTTTGGAATCTTCAGCAACATTGGAATCTTCCACAATTTTGGGATCTTCAGCAACTTTGGAATCTTCCACAATTTTGGAATCTTCCACAATTTTGGAATCTTCATCAACTTTAGGAGCTTTCGATGCAATTTTTGTATCTTCATCAAGATTTTCAGTGGATTTAGAATCTTTTGTGATCTCAATTGTTTTGAGCTTTTCATTGGAATCTTTGTTGTCATTTTTGTCAACTTCACTGTTATCAAATGTTGATTTACTAACACTTGGCACGATTTCACTTTCACTTTCGGCGGAAGTCGACGTAATAACAGCGGTTTCTTTATTATTATCATCTAAAGTCTCGACAATTGCAGCATCTTCATTTTTGTCTAAAGTTTCAATTATTGGAACATCTTCATTTTTATCCAATGTCTCGACAATTGCAACATCTTTATTTTTATCCAATGTTTCGATTATTGGAACATCTTTATTTTTATCCGATGTTTCGACAATTGTAACATCTTCATTTTTATCCAAAGTCATTTCAGTAACTGATGATGCATCTTCACTTTTTTCGGGTGTGTTTGATTCAGTGATTGCGATATCTTCACTTTTATTCGAAGTCTCAACAATCAAAATGTCATCATTCTTATCTGATGTTTCAGTGATTAAATCTTCATTTTTCTCTGATGTTTCAGTGATTAGATCTTCATTTTTCTCTGATGTTTCAATCACAGCAGAATGATCTTCACTTTTATCAATAATCATAACATCATCTTCCTTTTCGTCTAAATTATCAATAATCGCTAGATCTTCACCTTCGTCTGAACTCTCAATAATTATATCTTCTTTCTCCGTTATCATTTCCGTGATTGTGGAGTCTTCAATTTTATCTGAACTTTCAATAATAGCAATATCTTCAGTTTTTTCACTTTCAGATATTTTTTGATCTTTTACCAATTGATTTTCATCTTTACTGGAAGATTCATCAATTTTGATGATTTCATCATCTTTAGTGATTGTATCTTCCTTTTTATTTGATGATTCACTGTCATCATGTTCTAATGATTGGAAATTTTTACTAGTAGTTTCAAATTGTTGACTAGCTTCTTTATCTTCAATCCTTGAAATATTATCATCAATATTTTCAATTATCTTTTTATTAAATGGTGATTTTAATTTAGCTGGTGGACTATCATCGTCTGTATCAAAATTAATACCAGATCTTTTAATAACATCTCTTTTGAATTCTTTGATTTCGGAAATTTCAGCTGTGATAGCTTCGGGTAAAATATCAATTCTTGCTTTATTACATGTTAGATCTTCAATAAGTAAATTGGAATCTTTTTTAGAAATGATTGTTTCACTTTTTTCGGTGGCAATAATTTTTTCTTCCTCGACAATTGAATGATTTGTAAGATTCATAATAGGCACTTGTTTTATTGATTCTTTAGCAAGTGATAAATTCATTTCATAAGATGTATCATCAATTTCTTCTTTTCTTCTTTTTGAAGACTGAATAATTAATGATGGATCATCATCTGATTCAATTTCTTCATCATGTAAAGTAAATGATTTTTTATTTAACGATTTTTGTGATTCTTTATTGTAATTTATTTTATTGACAATTGATTCCTTGTTCGGGACATTTTCATTTATATTCACAGGCATTGAATCAAAAATTTCTTTATTTTCAGGAATTTTAGTCTCAGTATGTTTAATATTTTCTAATTCAGGAACTTCTTTATTTTCCGTGTCTTCTTCAATGATTTTTGAAATTTCATTTCTTGACGCATAGTTTTGAATTTCAGAAATTTGCTTATCGTTAATATTTTTAATAGATTCAATATCAATATTTTTGGAAACATTTTGTGATTGTTCAGTATTATCAATATTTTTCGCACTAGTATCAATGGAAATTTCTTTTAAATTTTCCTCAGTTTTCACATTTTCGTTTATTGTTAAAGCATCTTTTTTTTCTGATAATGGAAATTCTTTGACAATTGTTTCAGAATCATTGCTTTTTTCATTGAGTGTACTATCAATTTGATTGCAAAGATCATCAACTTTACCCGATTCAATAAATGCCTCTTGATCTTCAGAATCATCAACCATATCCATACTGTCAGTAACAATATGTTCAACACGATTGCAAATGTCAACAGTTTTACCTGATTCCATTAGTGTTTCTTCATCGTTTATATTAAATTCATTTAAAAGTGATTCACGATTTTCCATTTGTACATTTGGCAATTTTACATCAATATTTTTCATTTCTTTATTGAAAAATTCACGATCAGCGACAAAATTGTTATCAATTTGAGATTTTGTTTGTAAATTTTTTAATTCTTCATTTTCATCTTTTTCTTGAATATTTTTATTAGCATCACTATCAATTTCTTTTACATCTTTCAATTTTGTTGATGTTTCAACATTTTTTGTATCATCAACAAATTTCGTTGGGGATTCAATTTCTTTTTCATTGACAATTTCTATTGGTGATTCAATTATTTTCGAATCTTCAATTTCCATTGTCGATTCCAGTTGATTTTTATCTTCAATTTTCATTGGAGATTCAACATTCGTTGCAGATTCAATATTCTTAATTTCCATTGTATCAACATTGGTGCACTCAATTTTCTTATGAATATTTGATTCTGATACATCTTTGGTAGTAATTGTTGCAATACTTGATGGAATATTGACATCATTACATAAAATTTCATCTTCACGATCTTCAGGTGATTTGTATTCGACATTGTCATTATCAAAGTCATTTTCACTTTCATTATCACTATCGTAATCCCCAACGAGCGATTTAGATTCAATTAGTTTTTGTGATTTCTTCTCTGTTAAATTTTCCTTTTCTTCCATTTTTTTAGCACTATTTTCAGAAAAATTCATTTCTTTAACATCATCATTTTTTGGAAGATCCAATTTTTCAGAATCTAAGGACAAAATCGATTCTTTAGGCAAATTCAATTCCTCTGTTGTTGTTGATTCTGGTTGATCGTCATTTTTTAAATTTACAGAAGAATTTGTATTTTCAATATTTTCGGAAATAATTTCCATTTTATTTTCTTGATTATTTAATTCCTCCATTTCTTCAGGTGAATTTAATTTTTCTAAAACAATCGTTTCGCTTTTAGAAATATTCAATTCCTCTTTTTCATCTGGTGAATTTAAAGTTTCTGACAGATTCGATTCTTCTGTTGTTTCCAGAAGATTTGACAATTTCTCACTTTCTGAAATATTCAATTCCTCTTTTTCATCTGGTGAATTTAATTTTTCTGACAGATTCAATTCTTCTGGAAGATTTGACAATTTTTCACTTTCTTGAATATTCAATTCCTCTTTTTCTTCTTTTGGTGTATTTAATTTTTCCGACAAATTCGTTTCATCTAAAGTTTCTGGAAGATTTGACATTTTTTCTTGACTTTGTTGAATTGTCAATTCCTCTTTTTCTTCAGACAAATTTGAAATTTCTCCACTCTCTGAAATATTCAATTCTTGTTCGTCTTCTTTTTCCTCCCGAAGATTTAACGTATTTTTACTTTCTAAAACATTCAATTCCTCTTTCACTTCTGTCAAATTTGATTCTTCGAGAATATTCGATTTCTCAGTTATTTCCAATTTTTCCTTAGAAAGATTTAACATTTCTACACTTTCCTCGTTTTTGCTTGACAAATTTGATTCTTCCATTGTTTCTATTTGTGATATTGATTCAATGTTGCTTTCTTCTTCTTCTTCTTTTTCTTTTTGTAATAATCCTCTATCTTCTGTCGTATCAATATCCTTGGGAACATTTTCTTTAGAAATTATTGAAATATCCTCTTTCTCAGCCTCGAATTGTTGAGGTATTTCAATTGAAGAATCAACTAATTTTGAATCATCATTTTTCATTGGAAATATTTCTGATTTTTCAATTAAAACTTTTTCCTCTAAATCTTTTATGATATTTTCAGTCACGTTCGTATCATCTTTCTCATTTGAAAATATATCCTTATCTTCTAATAGTAAATCTTCTGCTTTTTCATCTAACACTGAATCTTCTACTTTTTCTTCTAAAAGTAAATCTTCTAATTGCTTTTCTTTTGAAAGTGTATCATCGATATTTTTCTCTTCTAGAATTGAATCTTCATTTTTTTCTTCGAGAATTGAATCTTCTGTTTCTTCTTCTAAAATTGAATCCTCAGTTTTTTCTTCGAGAATTGAATCTTCAATTTTTTCATCTAAAACTGAATCTTCAGTTTTCTCCTCTAAAAGTGAATCTTCAGTTTTTTCTTCTAAAAGTGAATCTTCAATTTTTTCTTCCAATAGTGAACTTTCTATCTTCTCCTCTAAAATTGAGTCCTTTTCTTCTAAAATTCGTTCTTCTGGAATCAAGTTATCAGAGTTTTTCTCTTCAATTACAGGAGCATCAAAATTTTCTTCATTCATTTCGTTGCACAAATTTTTTTCCTCTAAAATTTTCTCCTCTTTTGTTGTTTCAATGACAAAACTTGTTCCTTCAGCTTTTGGCTCTTTGTCAATTTTATTTGATTTATCTCGATTATCATCTTCTTTTGATTTAATTGTTTCTTCATCAAAATCTATTTCTTCTGTTATATTTGAACTTTCCTGATAATCGTCATTTAATATCAAATTTTCTTTCGTTTGTTCCAAATTCTCAATTTCTTGTTCAACTTTTTTTAATTCTTGTTCAAAATTATCTTCAACTTGTTCTAAAGTTGTTTCATTTTTTTGAATTGTTCCCGTTGGGAGGGGAGAAAAATTTTCATCTTCATTATCAAGATCTTTGGTGAAAGATTCTGGTGAATAATTTGCATCATCTTGTTTATTAATTTCATTATTTTTCGATATTATTAATTCAATTTCACTACTTTTTGATGATAATTCCGTTTCTTGAATTGTTTCCACATTTAATTTATTACTAGATGATGCCTCAGAATCGATTATTGAAGAAATTCTTAAATCATTGGGATTTGTAGAATTTTTTGAATCCACATTTTTAAGATTTGATTCATTTCTCGATTTAGAATCATTTTCTCCCTCTTCCTTTTGTTGAGAGAGAAAATTTTTCTCATCACGTGAAGCACAAGGAATTTCAAAATTTACATTTGCATTTTCCTGATTCTCAGCAATAATTTCATTTTCAACATCATTTTTTAAATCAATACGATGATCCTCAGTGTCGAGATCATTTTTTATTTCAATATTGTCTTTATTTTCAAAAACAATCCTCTCATTAACGTTTGTCGATATAGAAACTAATTTTTCTTGCTTATTATGATTATTATTATCCTTGGTGACAAAATTCTTTTGTGTTTCGCTTTCACTTTCATTCACAACAACACGATCGACTTCGTCTTCGTTTTTCGATGTAAACGAAACACAATTTGGCCCAAAGAAAAATTTCGGCGGTGATAAACGATTTTCCACTGATTTCACTTCATTTTGTTCGTCAAAATTTTTGAAATTTACTCTATCATTCTCAAGATTTTTATTTTCATTTGATATGTTCTCTTCAGTTTCCTTTTTCTCGGGTCCACCAACGTCCCATCTTGATATCCTTTTTAGAGGCGATGTCGATGATTTTGGAATTACTTGAATGCCAAGTGATGGCTTAAATTTTGGTTGACAATTCTCCTCTGATTGTGAACAATTTCGATTGATTTTCGTTATATTATTAGGTGGAAGAGCGTTGTCATCAATTTTTTTTGATTCATTAGTTTCTTTATTGTCGGAAGCATCATCGCCGGGATTACCTGTATCACAATCAGCACCTGAACCTTCACCATAAAAATACATGGTTGTTTCGATGATTTCGTCTTCAATTATTATTGGATTAACAGCATCACAATCACTACCTGATCCTTCGCCATGTACCATCATTAATGGTTCTTCAATTGCTTCACCAACATTATCTCTCCATTGTCTCTTTTCGTTGCTTGGTCGAATTGGAATCACATCAGGCCTATGTCTCTTCACATGATCATTTTGCACCAATTCTTGTTCATGATTTCGTTTCATTGTTCCCATACGAAGTGTTGCGAGTTTACTTGGATCGGGAACAATACTATAACTTGGTAATCGATGTTCATCTTTTGTTGGCGTTCGTCCTGTACTGTGATATGGTGGATGATCATAATTTGTAAAGGACATTTGTCGTTTACTGAGATCGGCGACCATTGCATGATTTCGCATCATTACAGCGCGCGCATCATAAGCAATTGGAACGTCCTGTTGTTTTGTTTTTTTTGTGCTCAAATCAATTTCCTTGTGTTGAACATCATTGTCCTGAACACGATAATTTGTTTTACGACTAGAGAGATCGATTCCTGAAAAATCAACAGGCCTATTATGATCGTTTGCAGTTTCCCAACCACGTGGCGATGTTGAGAGATCAATTCCTCCACCTCCACCTACTCGTCGATTCGTTTGTTTCAATGATTTATCGGAATTACGCGAACAAAAATCCTGTGGAAATTCTTCTGTGCTTGTTAAAATTGCTTGATTTGATTTTGCCAAATTCTCAGCTATCTTCTCAAGTGATTTAATTGGCTTTTCCAATTTTTCCGATTGTATCCTAACAAGATTAGCGGCTAATTTATCAATTGGTTTTATTGAATGTTTATTGTGAAGAATTGATGATGTTTCAAGAACATTACCACTTGTTTTACCGGAAAGTTTCTCAAGGGATTTCATTAAAGAATCAGTTGTTTCCTCAACAATTGGTTTAGAGATTTTTGCCTCTGTTTTTTTTACCTCGTGATGATTTAATTTTAAAGGTGATGTTATTATTACAGGTGTTTCTATTGATTTTGGTTCATCGATATTTTTATTACTCTCAGTTTTCTTTCGATTCTCATTATCATTGTCGGATTTATTTTTGTTCACAATTTCTTTTGTATTTTCAACTAATTTATTAGAAATTTCTTTCTTTTCTTTTTCTTCTTCTTCTTTTAAATTCTCCACTACTTCGGGAACTTTTGATTCTTCGGGTTTGTTTTCTTTCGTTAATTGTTGAATTTCTTTTTTATTACTTTCTTCTTTTGGAAGTTCCACTTTCTTTTCTGTAGTATCTTCATTTAATGATTTAGTTTCACTCGATTTCTTGTCATTTTTTAAATTTGATTCCTCAATTTTCTCAACTTCGGGGACTTTTTGTTTCTCGGGATTAGATTTTTCCTCTTCTTCTTCTTCTTCTTCTTCGTCTTCTTCTTCTTCTTCCTCCTCCTCCTCTTCCTCTTCATCATTAGCTGCTGGTTCTTGACCTGTGTCAATTGTAGGTTTCTCCAATGTTTCTAAACTACTGCTGTCTTCATTTAGAGGAATTATTTCACCATTCGATAAGGAACTTATGAGATTAACTATTCCTTCACGATTCCTAAAAAAAAAAAAAAGGTTTTTCTTGTTTAATACAATTTTAGCAAATAAAGTTACAAAAAAAATTAAATTTTAGAAGATTAATTTAAACATAAAGAAATTTTTTGAAACCTACTGGGCAACAAGTTCCCAATTTTCTTCCTCTAAATCTTCGCGATAAATTCTTATGTTACAATCCTCATCAAGTTGACACCAATAAGAAAGTCCAGTTTTGTCTCTTCCTAAAGGTTCTAATCTCAGTTCACTTCCTGTTTGTTTATTCAATTCGTTCTTGAATTTTTGATTAAAATCAAATTGCGATTCCAAAAGACCCTAAAATTATTTTTTTTTTCATAATTAATATTTTAATTAGTTAATTAATTTAATGATGATTAATTTATTTTTGAAAAAAACAATACCTTTAGTATGCGTAATTTTACAGCAACACGTGATTTTTTATATCCAAAACGCTCCAATTCCCAACCATCTTGATTAGAATAGGTATGACAGAATTTTACTAAAGCCCTTTCCCATTTGTCAACAGTGACAGTTTTTCTTGTTTTTCGCAACAATTTTATATGTAAATCTATTAAAGGCTGTGGCACTGCAACAAATAAATTTCAAAAATAACATTAAACTGAAATTAAATTTCAGTTTCTTTCAATTGAAGCTAATTTTACTAAACTGTAAACAAAAAGTGTTTAAAAAAAAAAAAAAAAAATCGAAAAGTGAATAAGGATTATAATAAAAAGATACATTAATTAACAAATATTTTAACGCTTTAATTATCTCAAATTTTCTTTTTTCACGTGACAAATGAACTTGAAATAATTCTAATTTCAAGGTCACTGAAGAATATCTGAGAAATGTAAAAATTATTTTAAAAAATAAAAATCAAAAAGACAAATATAAAACCATAAAAAAACAATTTTACTTAATTAGTTTTATAAAAAGGAAAAAAAATTCTTTTTTAATTAGAAAAAACATTCATGTAAAAAAAAAACATTTTGTATTCAAAAATACAAATGAAATAAAAGTGCTTAGGTGTAAAATAAAAAAGGGTTGCCTCACTCAACATAAAAATGTCTATTTCATTTAAAGAATTTCATTGTTGAAAAATGAAACTCCCAAAAAATCACGTGGATTAGACAACAACAAAACCCTTAGGAAAGAGAGACAAAGGGATGATTAAGGAGGCTAAAACGTGGAGGAGCAAAATAATAAAAAAAAAAACAAAAACAAATACGAATCTATCCGTCAATACAGGCGGCAATTTGAGAGCCATGCAATATTTTTTTTTTCCTCTCCTTTTTTTGTTATCACACAATACTTGAAATTGAATGTAATATACAAGAAAACTAAAACCAAACATAAGCTCAAAACATGACAATATTGTCAATTGTAATAAATAATATGATAAAAATTGACAATTACTTTATTATGTTGAAAAGAATTGCGACAACTCCCGGAAGAAATGAAAGAAGATGAAGGAGCGCCCGTAGTGTTTGTATTGTCTATTTATCATAATTTCAACTTACCTTCTTGTGTGTTATCAAGCATTTCTTGAAGCTGGGAAATATCCGGATACTCAATGCCGCAACTTTTGCCAAAACAATCGAGAAACGAACAAATCACAGCGAAATTTGGGTCACTCACGCAGGAGGCTTCGTTATCGGACGCCATTTTTCCGCCGCTCTTGCCCGTCGTCGTCGTCGTCGCGCTCACATACACACACACACTAAGCTAAAAGAAGAACCGACTCATCACAAAATACACTTTTTTTTCTTTCTCTTCTTTTTTTTTCAAAAAAAAAAGAATATTCAATTTTGAAAAATATGAGAAACAAATTTTTGTTTCAAATTATCAATATTTAATGACGCCGTTTGACGAGTGAGCCGCCTAGGACGACGCTTCCTGGACATACACCGCACCACAACACACACTGACCCCTCCCACCCCCCCCGCCAGGGTGTCTAACAAAATTGCAGACACCTCTCTTGGCTTTTTTTTTTCTTTTATTATCCTCTAATTTTCTTATTTTCACAAGGGAATTTTTTAAGTGCATAAAATAAATCTTGTCACTTTCTCTCTCACATTGTAGTGAGTAGCTTATTTAGAAGAGCGTTCCACAGCACACACATACACAACTATATTTTTTTAATAGTTTTTTTTCAGCACAATATAATTGTTAAGACGAGAAGTGTTGTATATAGTTTTTTTTTTTTTTTTAAAAAAGAGAGCACAAAGATCACACCGTTGCTTTTCTCGTCTTCATTGAAACACCGCGAAATTAGCACTGAACTCACTGCCCATTATATATGCCTTCGGGTTTGGTCCGGCATCAACACTAGATTATGAATCGTCAACCAGTTGATCACCACTGACCAGGTTCGTGTTATCAAAATCACATGCCCCCTCTTTTCACACATATCATTTGTTGACATATCCACATACAATAAGGTTATAAAAAAAAATCTCTTTTTTTTATCCAAGTATATTTTTCATATTTGAGGTTAGGATCATTTTTTTTTCTTTCTTTAAAATATATTTATTTAACTAACACTTAAATGTAAGTTGAAAAATATTTATTTACAATATTTCTATTCTATACTACAAGAATAATGTACTATAAATTGAAAATAAAAAAGAATTACTTTTTTTTTGTGAAATATTTTTTAAAAATTACAGAAAAAAAAAATTCTTTTAAAGAGAATTTAAGAAAATAGATGATGAGAGGGGAGGGGGGAGATTATTACAAAGTAACCAGGGGCGAAAGGTCAAAAGTTGTGCCCTTCACTTTAAGTTGGCATTATACAATCAACCCCCTTCTCTTAACTTTCATGCTCGACGTGTTCAGTTTACATGAGTTTACCATTCACCTTCAAAGAAATATAATGTTGGGAGGCGCAGAGAGGTGTTTTTTTTTTTTAAAAACAATTGCACTATACAATTCTGAGAAAAACGAGTATACTCGGTACATAAATCCGATAATAAAAGTGCACACATTGTGTCTCTGAGATGATTTGTTTTAATACTCTATTTTTGCTACCGTTTTTCTCTTTTTTATTTATTTTTTTTTTTTTTTGAAATTAGAAAATATTGCAAATATTATTCACTAGACTGTCGAGAAAAAAATTAAAAATTCGTAACTATTATAGCAATATTGAAAAAAGTGTAAATTTCCAATTTTTTGATTCTTGAACTTTGAAATGTTCAACTTTTGAATTCTCAAACGCTTTCTAGCTAGCCCGCAATCGATCGACGACCGCAGAGTCGAAAGAGGGTGTTTCCTTATATACTTGCTCTAACGATCAAAGCAGATTTCCTAGACCTAGAGATAGTCACATTACACTCCATTGAGAAAATCCAATAAATTTGCTTTCGAAAAAAGGATTTTTATTAACTATAAATTAAAGTAGATTTTTGTTAATTTTTTTAAGAAATCATTTTCCAATGTAATTTTTTTTTTTTTTTAAATTAGACGAATTTCAAGAATTTTGATTTTCAAAAATTAAAATTTTTTAATAATTAACATATCACTGAAAATGTTAATATAAAAATTTTCCAATAATAAAAAAAATATATATATAAAAGTTGGAAATTAAAAAAATTGGTTTTTCTTTCAGGAGTAACTAGAGAGTTGACTATATATTGATAAGCAAAGAAATGAATGAATCGCGACTTCCCCGTGTAAAAAAAAGGAGGAGAGTAAACTCAATGAAAATACCTTCGCGATATGCGAATTCAACTTTTCAACAACTGTTGCATCCCTCTGGCTGAATGCCAACTAATAAAATATACAATTATTGATAATCGACAATTAACAAAGCAGTTTAGAATTGAAAATTTTTAAAATTTCATTCACTATTTTCCTAATTTTTACAAATATAAAATCAAAAAATTATTCTAAATTATCATTGATTTATTCATTTTAAAAAAATTACAATTATTTTTATTTATTAATAATAATAAATAATTACTACTCAAAATCAGACAAATTGAATGATTATCGAGAATAATTTTTTGACTTTATTTGAATACGATTTGTTATAAATTAATAATTAATTTACAAAATTCATATTTTAAATTATACGTCGGAAAAAGGAGAAACATTTTTTTTTCTTTGGTAAATAAAATAAAAAATGTAATTACAAAAATGGTTTATAAGTTAAAAATGTTCAATAACGACACTTTTTCTGCATCAATATGAAGCATGTAAAATATATTTTTCATATTTTTTTTTTTTTTTTTTTTAACAAAAATAATCTCCACGAGAATGTATTGTATACGTAAGATTAACTCTATACGTCATTTAAATACAATATCGTAAAGCACAATGATGGACATCTTGAGACAATATTTTCAAGACAATATTTTCAAGACAATATTTTGAAATGTTTTTTTTTTTGTGTATGTAATTTTTTTTTTATACAATCTCTAAGTTAAGCTTAAAGTAGTAACATTTTTAATTATATATAAATCTATATATAAAATACCTCACACTCTTCTCTATACAAAAGTATTAAACTAAATTATTATTCTTCTTTTTTTTTTAAACATTTGGAATCCAATTGATATCGATGAAAGTATCGAGTAAGTTTACGATTATATATATATTACAATAGTACGCGCACTTTTTTTTATTGAACAAGTCAGCCGTCAGTCGTTTATGTAAAAAAAGGGGTTTCTAATCTAGAAAAATTAAAATTAAAACAAAATTTATTAACTTATTTATTATTTTCTAATTAAATTTTAATTTTTCCAATTAGTTTATTTAATGTTAGATTTAAAAAAAAAATGAAGACAATTGACAAAATTATAATCGAGCGAATAATTATCCTGTAAAAGTAATTAGAATTTTTTAAATAAAAATTCTTACCAATTTTTATGGGATAATAGGCCCCCATTTTTTTTTTGTTTTTATTTTAAATATGCGGTAAAATGAAGATAATTTTTTTGTCCTCATTTTATTGACGAATGAATGAAAGCTGACTATTTTTTTTTCTTTTTTTTTTTTTTTTGTTTTGCAAATTATGTAATAAAATTTTAAATTTACTGATTCGCCTTTTGAGATGTAAAATTTTTTATCTGCTGCTTATAAACTTCGGCTTCCTCGACTTTTTTTTGAAATCTCTTTTTGTACACTTCTATTTCCCTTCTTGCTTCAGCTAATTGTCTACTAAGCTCGGCAACATCGGTTGTTATTGGTTCTGAATTATAAATCAAATCATTATCATCATCTTCATCATCATCTGTTTCTTCAATTTCGTCATCTAATTGTAATATCACTGATTCTGGCACTTTTATTGGTGATGTTTTTGTTTTTTGCTATTAGAAAAATAAAAAGTTGAAAAAAAAATTGTTTCTCTTTTTTTTTTTATATATAGTTACCTTAGGTGTGGAATTTTTTGTTGTTGATGTGAGCGGTGGACAATTTACCATTGTATTAGAAACTGAATTAATAAATAATTTTCCTGATTTAGAATCATTTCTTTTTAAAATATTAGGCGCTCTAGCAGTAATACTAGATTGATTATGAGCTAAAAATTGATCAGCTCTTATAGCAATTAATTTTTTTGATCCACCTTTTTTAGCACCTACTTGTAATCGTTTTATGCTCATTGGTGGTGTTCTTGTTAAATTTAACGCCAATTTTCCTGCTTCTGTAAAGAAAATTTATTATTTGTATAGTTTTTTTATATGATGAGGGAAAAAAAGAAATTTTTTTTTTTTACCAGTAAGAACGACTGTTTGTCCACTTTCCATTGCATTTTCAACAATTGTATCATTATCCATCATCATTGCAAGTCCATGAGCTTGCAGTAATCTTAATGGTTGATCAATTTCCATACTTTCCAAATCTTTGTGCTTTTTACTATTTCCCGGTGTTGCGTTATTATTCATATTTGTAATATTAGTCAAATCAAATTCATGATCATCATCGCTCGCTGATGAAATTGGAACTTGACGGAAAATTACTCTCTCCTTTTTGGCTGAATAGAAAAATGGAAATTTTTTATCTATATATAATAATAGTTTTTTGAAAAATTAAATATTTACCAGAATTCGATTTGCGCTTGGGTAGAGATTCGGGAATTTGAAATTTAACATTATGATGCTCCTTTTGCCTTTCGGATTCAAGATCAACTAAATTTTGTGTTGCAACTTCAAGTTCAACGGCACAAGATTGTCCATGAAATGTATGAATTCTCTCCTGTTGTAAAAGATCAACTAAATCGAGTCTATCTTTCTCCAATGCAATACTTATTGGCGTTTTATTAAATTTACTGTTTGCATTTGTATCAGCACCGTTATCCAATAATACGTGAATCACTTCTAAATTTTGTTTTTCCACTGCCCAATGTAGTGGAGTCATTTTTAACTAGAAAAAAAAATAATTTTTTATTTATATTAAATTTTTTTTTTGAAAAATAAAAAGGTTTTACCATATCGCGACTATCGACATCAGCTCCATATTTAAGAAGCAATTGTGCCATTTGATGATGACCCTCATATGCAGCCAAATGTAGAGGAGTACGATCAACTTTAGTTCTTGCATCTCTCGATATCCCTGCTCTAAGTAAAACCTCAGCAGTTTCGGTATGATTTTTTTGAGCCGCCAAATGTAATGCACTCGTTCCCAGCTGAAAACAATTTTTTTTTTTGAACATCTTTTCTTTTTTCTAATTTAAGATAAAAAAAAAATTTTTTTCATTCTAAAAAGAAAATTTAACACAAGAAAGACGAGAAAAAAGAATTGAATTTTTAAAGTTCTACGAAATAAATTATTTTTTTTTTTTACCCCATCGGTGGTAAATGGTGCCCCTCGACACATAAGATCTCTAACCAAATCTGTGGCTCCATTTCTTGCACATTCAAGAAGTTGCTTTCCCAATTCAACTATGGACAAAGCATCCTGAGATCTATTTCGCTGTATAATATCACACGATAGAATATAATTTTCCTCCTAAAAAATTGGACAAAAAGTAAAAATTAAATTTGCCTAAAAATTAAAATTTTTTAATAAATTCTTAAAATAAAATCACTTACTGGAATGAATGTTTCAGCTTCAAATCCATCGATATCTTGTGTACAAATAGTTTCAGCTTGCATTTTTATTTACTTTTTCACAATCTTTCAGCCTATTTTCCAATGCACTCTATAAAGAGAAAAATAAATTTTCCAAATTGTTTGTAAAATGAAAAATTACTTCTATTGAAGTAATTTAGAATTTGATAAAACATTTTTGCTTTTTTTTTTTTTTTTTAATGTTCAGCCGTGCGAATGTGCGAATAAATTCAAAATAAATTCTACATTAAAAAATAAATGTCATTGAATAATAATAGAGAAAAGTTGTTTTTTTTTCGAAATTTCCTTCTTTACAGGATGTTTTTATTTTATGCCATATAACTCAAGACAAGAGTTGAACTTCCTGTTCCTGTTCAATTGAACGGAAGTCCCTTGCCATAGGCCATGCGCTTCTCATACGATATAGAAAAGATGTCGAAATTTTTTTTTTTCTTAACAATTTAATCATTAATTATTTACTTACGAGGAATGCATTATTTCTATTATTTAGTGATTATTTTACAATTAATTTTAACACAATGAAAATCACGGTAAAAAAAAATTCACGTCTGCCACCACAGTTCAACTTGATTTAACCAAGACACGACACACTTTCATGAAAAATGGCGTCCTTATTGGCGCCATAGTTCACGCGCATTTTCTCTTCCATATTTCATTTTAAATTACATTTTATTAGAATTTTTTTTTTTCAATTTTTTGTCAAATTTTCATCTATTGAATGAAAATGAAAGGTAGTTATTGTTTTTGTTTTGTTTAATGATAATAAAGTCAAAAAAAAAAAAAAAAATTATGAAGGGCGGAGGGGAAAGGTATTTTATTGTTGACAATTGTACGAGCGATTGCAGTGCCACGTTACGATGATCTCAGTAAGTAAATATTATAATATTGATTCTCCAATTGGTTAAAATGAAAATGTCCAGTTTTCAGGACAAAGTTTTTGAAAAAAACACATTATTTTCTCTTTATGTTTAAATTAACATTTTGTTATTATTAAAAAAGCAGGAAATATATTGTTTTTCTTTTTTTTTTTTTGCGGAAAAACTTTCAAATGACAAAAGAATAAAAGGTAAAGTAGATTTCGAAATATTTTTTTTTAGCTGAAAATGATTTAATATCGTTAATTATTGGCAATTGATATTAAATTATTTATTAGGCAATTGTCTAATTTCTAATAGATATTTGGTATTTTTTTTTAATTTTTGTATTTTACATATAAAATTAGAATTTTATCGGTCGATGAAAGTTTTATTTTCAGCTAACGCCCATTTCACTGTGTAGAGCACTAGTTCTCGTCTGATCACTAAAGTTAAGCGCAGTTGAGCGCGGTTAGTACTTAGATGGGTGACCGCTTGGGAATACCGCGTGGTGTTGGCTTTCTTTTTTTTTTTTTTCTCCAATTTTCATTTATATTAATTTTGAATATTATACTTTTTTAATTCTGAATTAGTTCTCTTTTATCGAATTCAATTGCGTCGATTCGTTCATTAAGAAGGGTGGCGGGGCGAAACATAACCTCAAAAACCTGTCAAAATTAAAAAATTGTTTTTAACGCAAACAAAAATATAATATTAATTTCAAACAATTTTAGAAGATCTAGATTTTACTCCTATCGAAAAAAAATTATTTTTTTCCAAAAATATTTTGTCAATAATTATTTTTTTAACATTTAGTTTTTTTTTTCTTTTAAATCAGACAAAATAGCAAATTTTTAACCAATTTTTATAAACAAACGCTCATTTTACTAAGTGAAATATTCTCTACAATTGTTACCTTTTTTATATTGTAATAAGTATGTTCTTAAAAAGTTATTTAATAAATAAAATTTTAATTATTTATAACTTTTTAAGTACATACTTATTACAATATAAAAAAGGTAACAATTGTATAGAGAATATTTCACTTAGTAAAATGAGCGTTTGTTTATAAAAATTGGTTAAAAATTTGCTATTTTGTCTGATTTAAAAGAAAAAAAAAACTAAATGTTAAAAAAATAATTATTGACAAAATATTTTTGGAAAAAAATAATTTTTTTCGAATGGAATAAATCTACATAGAAAATTAAAAGGCATTAAAATAAGCTTATTATTTTAATGCAATTTTGCTTATTTTAATCCATTTTGGTATTAAAATAAGGAAAATTGAATTAAAATAAGAAGCGTTGCAGCTTATTTTAATGCCTTTTAATTTTCTGTGATTGTTTTATAATTAAATTTTTATCGCAAAACATACTCATAAATTCGAAAATAGAAAAAGTTACAATATCTCAGGAATATACAAAATTTATATTTAGGGTTTTTGTTATACCAATATTTAGATATATAGATTTGGGTCATTCGAACTTTTAAATTCGCATTCTATGAAATTTATCATTTATACACATCCTTATGGATAATAATTTATTATATATATATATATATAAAAATAATAGATCATTTGCAAATTTTCGTGATAGTATTTCGACACAAACAAAAGGATATATTGTCAAGCTTAATTTCCATTTTATTCATTGAAGCACATGTACAGAAAACAGAAACTACTATATATAGTTTGAGTTTGATGCACACAGTAAGCATCAGCAATCTCCATAATGTTATAATCAGATATATACATTTAACTATTCCACACTTGATACAACAATGAAACTTTAATTATAGACTTTATCATTAATAAATATATAAATATATTTGCCTAAATATTATTATCTTATAATAAATCACTGTTAACTTTAAATTATATTATAATTAATATTGTAATCTCGTAAATTGAAATGTGTGCCTGATGGAGTACTATGACCAGTTTTTCCTATTGAAACTGAGCAACTATAGACAAAACTGATGTCCCGACTAATACTAAACTTAGGGATTTTTTTCAGTATATATAAAAATATGCTATTGAATCAATAGTATTTCAGCCAAAGGTATAAAAATTATTGATTCAAAAGCATATTGCTATAAAATTTTTTAAATATTTTATAGATTCTATAGCATATGCTTTTGAATAAATAATTTTTATACCTTTGTCAGAAATGCTGTTGATTCAATAGCAGATTTTTCTCAGTGTACACGGAAAAAAAAAGAAATGGTTGGGCCAACCATAGGTATTGATAAATACGTCCCATCAATATTATATGGTTACCACAACCATATCTTTAGTTGATACAACCATATAGTATGGTTGGCCTAACCAAAGGTTAGGTTGTCACATCAAAATTACGAAAAATTGCAAATTTGATGTGTCAACCTGACCTTTGGTTGCACCAACCATACTATGGTTGTATCAACTAAAGATATGGTTGTGGTAACCATATAATATTGATGGGACGTATTTATCAATACCTATGGTTGGGCCAATCATTCATTTTTCTCCGTGTACTAAATTTAAGAATTTGTATAAATCACAATATTCTTGAAATAACCACAGGAATATGATTGATGCTTACATGTATATATATAATAGGAGAAAATTGATTCTATGAATTATGCGGTTGATTCATCAAATGCAAGTGATATTATCAATCGTGATAACAAACCATAGAAGTCAATCGATACGAGAGATGTTCGTGTACGCAGGGTAACCGCATATATATATTTATATTCTTTTGGCAAACGGATCAGAATCTATGTATATATGTATATATATATATAGGGATTCATTATTGTTGCACCTTACTACTCTGTTATCTCGTCAATTCTGGGTCAAATGTAGAACCGACAAAGACAGGGGGAGTGGTTGACGAAGACAAGGAGGGAGATGAGAAGAGTATTGCAATTTACCGTGTTCTATATATATATATATAGCAGAGGCGAACACTATATATATATATATATATATATATATATATATATATATATATATATACGAAGAGCAAAACGGGAGATTGGGTGGAGTACAATTAGTAGAATTAACAAAAGAAGCTTCCACGCGAAAGTGCTATAGTTAATTTTCTATCTTCCCCTCGAGCATTTCTTTGTAATAATGAGCTTCGTTTGTAGAAAAAACATTTTTCAACGTTTAACACAAAATACAACAAAAACCCATGCGCAACAGAAGTTGCGTCCACCTCATTAAAATAATACACGGGACGAGAGATAGAGATAGAGAAAAGTTCATTCACATTCTAGTAATGAGCTTGCTGGCTCCTTATTTATATACATATACACATATATACAATGACAATTATATTTTTTTTATAAATTTTCCTTTTTTTAGATTTTAAAATAAGATTTTTCTCTCCGTATATATTTAAGATTCTTAAAATAAAAAAAACATATTGGAAATATTCGCATTCTTAAAAATTTTGTTTTTTTCGGTGAAATAATTGTTATTGCGTATATATATATATTTTATTGCAAATGAACAATAAATTAAAATCAATTCATAATAATACAATATATATGAAAGTAATGCGATAAAATCAGAAATTATTTAAAATATATAAGATTTCTTGGTAAAATTCACTCTTGACTGACATTTACGAACTGAATTTACTGCAGTTTCTTATTCCTTGTCGAAGACGATAGCAAGTTTCAGAATCAGATAAAAAGAAGGACTCGAGGCTTTATTGAAAATGATAAGAAGTGACATTTCGAGTTCCCGTTATCCTTATCAGCTAGTCCCTTAACATTTATATATATATATATATTTCACGCGAATATTTCTGACAAGTGTCCACCGCAAAGAAAAACGATTTTTACGAATAAAACATAATTTTTATTCTAAAAGCTTAATAATTAATGTAGAGAACAATGTAATATAACTATATATATTTTATATAATATAATAATAATATAATAATTCTTAAGCTTTTGACTCATAACCGAATTTTAGAAAGTGCTTTTCTCATTTCTGTATATTTACAATTTTAGAAAGAAACTATAACTAGTGCCAGCTGTTACGATACAAGACTGTTCCCGACCAATATCCAACTTAGAGAAAAAATAATGCAAATAATAATAATAATAATAATAATAATAATAATAATAATAGTTAATAATAATTTTAAAAAATAAATTTATTTACATTTTTTTTGAGACTAGTGCATTTTTGAATCTATTTTATATTTGGGGTTTCGCCCACACGGAAAAAAAGAAAAAGTAATTTTTACTATATACTTTCGGAGTAAAACGGTAACTGTCCGAAGTTTCTGCGCATCTCTGGCAATTTTTACTCCAAAAATAGTTAAATTTACTCCAGAAATAGTAAAAATTACTACGGAACAGTAAATTTTACTATAAAAATAGTAAATTTTACTATTTTTGGAATAAAAAAGTTGACAGAGATGCGCAGAAACTTCGGACAGTTCCCGTTTTACTATATGAAAGTAGTAAAAATTACTTTTCCTTTTTTTCTGTTAACATTTACTTCTGTTAATAATTTTCCTTTTACACACTGAAAAAAAAATTTATTTGTTTCAAATACCGGTGTATTTGGTTAATATCAAATAAATATTTACTTGGAATCAAATATTTCTTATTTGAATCAAATATATAGTATTTGCTTCAAATACTGAAATATTTGATCCATAAATAAGAAATATTTGATTCAAGTAAATATATTTATTTGATAATAACCAAATACACCGGTATTTGAATCAAATAAATTTTTTTTTCAGTGCATAAACTAATAAAAACTTAGTTTATTTTTTTTTTCAAAAAAGTAAAACTGGCGAGTCCCTGTCCAAAGCCCCGTTTTGGGACATTTTTCCAGAAATATATTTAAAACGAAATTGAGATAAATCGAGGTGTATCTGATTTAAAGGTCCGAGTGTATTAGTATATATATATATATATATATACATATTGGTTAATTAACCGATTAATTTGCGAGTTAGTTGAACTGTGATGGTTTATATATGCGCGTTACCCAGGGGAATTTAGTTAACGACTGTTAAATTAACTTATATATACAGTACATTATTGAATGTATATATATATATATATATATATATGTATAGAGAATTACACTTAGCATTTCTCGGGTAAACTGATTATAGATTAAATCATGAGAGGCTTTTGTTTTTGTTATTAATGAGATGCTATTAAGTATGCCATAAAAACAGATAGTTTCCGCAAGATGCATCGTTTCTAATATATATATATATATTTGAATACGGTAAAAGGAAGCTTGCAAAAAATATTAAATGTTCGTGATTTTTCGAGTCTTAATCAACTCTTAATATACAAACCGTATTGATCATTATGAAAATAAAGACTGATTTTGATTTTGCATATATATATATATAATTAAAAATGAACGTGCATTTAATCGAGATAGAAAAAAACATAACCTAAAATTTTTTTTACAGTTAAAGTCCCTTTTTCACCGTCAGCTAATTATATCATAGCTAAAAATTATAATTTTTAGTAACAGTAATA